TATATTACCTGAACTAGATATGGTATCTGCTGTTGCTGAATACTGTCAAAAATACAATAATTTTCATTAGTTATTTGTTAAATATAAACTAAAGTCTTTCAATTGTAATAATCTCTTAATCAGACAACAAGACAGATTTCTTGGCATTGATCTTTATCAGTACTCTTTCACAGCTGGGTTGGCCACAAAAAGTGAAAGCAGATGATTTATTCAAAGTCAGTGAAAATCTCATGGTAGTTATAGATTCTAATCCTGGTCGGCATGTGAAAGTCTGATGACCTTCAATAATTTCATCTTTGCTCATAATTCCAGTCGACCCAGCTGTAAACAGAAACAGCTAATTCAGGAAAAATCAATGCCAAGAAGTTTGACTGAGAACCAGACAGGATCCTTGTAATCCTACGTTAAATTTTTATCGTTGTGCATGTAGATGTGTGTTTACTTTCTTTTCAGTCTTGTGTCTGCTTCATTTTCAAGATTATTTTCGCAATTTAAGATCTGATGGATCATAGGATGAATATCAAGATCAACTAATCAGAATAAAAATAATAAATATTTACCCCTGGGTTTGTTTCTCTAATATAAGCCTCCATTTCATCATAATCACTCTCTTTATCTTGTAACTAGAAATAATAAGATTTATTAATTAATATTTTTAAATTACCACTGTCAAATTATTAAATTTTATGGCCATTTCACAAATATATGTTTCTGTATATATACAATACTGTACGCCACACCAGTATTATGACTTGTGAGTAAAGTGAGAGATTACAAAACAAGAATTTTGATGCCCTGAGCAAGATCAGGCCCAGTATTCTCAAAATGATCTTAGCCCAAGGATGTCCTTAAAACAGTTTTAGACATTAAGACCTTAGGACATCCTAGCGCTACGATCGTTTCGAGAATATACAGCCAAGAATACACAAATTTAAATCTGCATATTTAAAATTATATGCCTGCATTGACAAATCACAGAAAATAATGATTTTACGGTATCAAGCATGTTTAAGGCAGAATAAAAATGGATTATTACATTTAAAACATCTGGTTGTGCTTTGACATTAACAGCTTCTCCTAGCGAACCTTTCAATTGTTCATCTTGTTTAGAGTACGCCCTGTTAAAAAATATACAAAATAACTCAAATATTATACAAAGTTCTACGAAAAACATGTATTCATTTGCAAGAAAATTTAGAAATGAAGACATTTTTTCTTTTAAAAAATCAAATATATATGGCCAGATTTATGTAATTCTCTTATTTAACTTAATTCACTAAAATCTAGGAACATAAATCAACCCAACTACTAATGATCCGAACAGCAAAACGAAACCCGAAATCTGTAACAACGTATTGGCAAAATATTGATAGCAGCTAATGAACTTTTCACATGAAGAAGTATATCAATTTTAAGTGAAATGTTTCAAACTTTGATCAAAATTTAACCATCTCATTTAAAAGATAGCATCCAACTTGTTTATTATGGCTTTGAACACACATTGAATTTTCTTCAAAAGAACATACGTACCCTTTATTTTGTTTATTTTCATCGAAGGATTGTCGAGATTGAGCAAACATATCGAAATCATCAGATTTAGGCTGATATTCAGGTGGTTTACTAGAATCTGGTTGATTACTAACACCTATAACAGATTATATATTTCCTTTCAATAACCAGAAATACAATTTATTCTTTTACCAGATCAATTTCCATTATCCACAGGAAATCAAATATTATCAATCAATCAATGTAATTATCACCATTTTTAGTTAGAAACTCTTGTAGAAATATCATTATAAAAAATACAAAAACCTCTCAGCATGTGTATTTAAAAATTATGCAACGTTTTAATTTTCTGTGTGTTTCCATTCTACAGATATATTTAAGAATTGAAAAACAAACACAAGTGTACAGAAGCGTTGAAAAAAATTTCATGATTACAACAAATCATACTGGTACAGACAGATATTTAAATGTTCTGAATCAAGGTTAGTAAGTTATAATAACTGATATCAAATATACAGAGCAATATTTTTTACCACAAAATTTACTACAAAAAATAACTTTAGCCCAAAAATAGCATGAAAAATATATTTATGCACATCTATAGAGGCTTTCAAACAAAAACAGCCTAGTTTATACGTATCATAAATCATGGTGAATTAATTTGAAATCTGAAGTATGGAAATTTTTGTACAATTAATTTAATCATCAATTTTTTTTTCAAACAAAAATTCAAGGGATCACTTCAAAGAATAATCTTACGATAATAATTTATTGTAAGTGTGGAATTTTTCATTGAAAAATGTGGAGAAGCCCTCGAAAAAATTTTGTGATTAGGACTGAGATCTTTAATTTTTTCAGGACTGTGCAGGAGTAGTTGAAAGGATTAACATAATGCAATTGCAAAAGACTAGTTGAAAGTTAACAAATTTTCTCTCCATATAATGCACATGCATAAAACTGTCAATCATTCTCGGATGTGCATAAACATATTTGACCTATTTAAACTACAATATTGCACTACAACTAAAGAAACAAAACACCATAAAATATTGCTGTAGTATATATAATATAAGTTTTAAAATTATCAAAATTTGTTTGTCATTTTGAAATGAATGACTTACGAAGAGCGCCAAGTTTAGACTGAACATCTTCTGCAGACATTGTTGAAGGGGTTTCCCCAAAATCTATTAGATTACCTTCTGGTTGTTTACTGTTTGTCGTACTGGCATTTGAGGCTTGAACCTAGAGAAGTAAATATATACAAATATGACACAATAACAAAAAAAATCTATGTTAACATTGTGCTCAATACAATAATTATAGAGAGATATAGAAATATCACAAACAGAACCTAAAACATGTTGTTACTCTGAGTTTCAAGCTATGAATCTTCAGTTGTCTGTAGGTTCTGTTTTAATATTTCTACAATTATAATACATGGAGATGGGGTGCGCGTTATACAAGCCTGCGCGTTATATTCACCATTATACTGTATAAGTTAGGGATGATTTAGATTTGACTATAGATTTGTTGATAAGTATAAATCACACCTGGAAACGTAACAGGAAACTAGGGATATAATACAAGAAGTTGATATGGTGTAAGGGAAGAAGGTATCATTTCATTATTAAAAGTTTCAATATCTATACACATTTGTCTGGTTTGTCTGGTATTGTGAAGTATCAATTTCCAAAATGTAGTATTGCTATTTTCAATTGACTGATATATCAAGCTAGCATAAATATGTTATATTATGTCTGATTAGAATTCTCAAAAACACCAAGATAGAGAGATGTGTGGATAGAAAAGGCTTCCATATAGGTTAAATTCACAGAAACAAAGACAACATCATCAATTAGACACAGCAATAGTTAACATCAACATCTAAACTGCATGATAAATATGATATCTTAGATTTACATAGACTTAAATCAAAAACACACACACTTATAATTGAAGAAGCACAAAATTTCGTGATTTTATAAAAGCACAATTTTGAAGAAAAACAACTATTTTGAACAGTTAATATGTGAATTTGTATTGTCAATTATAAATATTAAAATCTATATATAAAACAAATGTGAAATTGAGCACAATTCTAACAGTAAAAAAACACTGTTACTTTATTAAATATTTACTATTAACATTTGTTGCTCAGTTTGAATATTTATGAAAGAATGGAATATTAATTACATCTCTTCTACTTTTCTACTAATTTATGACCCTTGACCACAAATTCATTCACTAAGGTTGGTTTTTGAAATTAATAAGGTAAATGTTTCAGTAAAAACACTGATATATGTACCTTTTTTTTCAGAAATCTGAGTGGTTTTGTCGGTTAAAGTTGGCTATATATTGTTTAGAAATGGATGAAGGAGACACTTTATTATTTATGAAGAGTATGGACGAATGTTTATATTTATGAAAGGTGATTAGACAATAAGTGAGAGGGCTTTATTCTGTGTAAAACTGAGATAGAGGAGGTATGGTGTACAGTGTGATGTACAGTGCAGAATAATCGATACAGATGAAAATAGAATAAGTGAAAACGAGGTACAGGTTTCTTCTATTTTCTACGTATCGATAATACCGCACCCGACACCGCACATCGTCTATTCCCACCTTTAAATGAAATGAAATGAATGGAGTTTTACGTCCTACTCTGTGTAAGCGTGAACAGGAAACAAATACAGATGTATAGTGAAAGCTGTGATATTTCTACCAGATGAAACTGTGTTTCCACAGAAATGAAATAGTAATCTAAGTTAATGACTTGACTCCAAGCTAGCTCTAATCCAACCTAGAACTTTCAGTGGAGACACGGATAATGAAATGAAATGAATGGAGTTTTATGTCCTACTTTTCTGCACCTTATGAGCTAAACGGATACAGTTAATAAAGCAAGGAAAGACAACAACAAGGCATATTTCTTACCACCCCTGGTTCAGTAGGCTGGACACTAGGTGAACTTATAACCTATAGAATACGGTACTTTATATTTATATTATCAATTCAATATCAATCTTAGGATTTTTCTTTAATTTTTTGAAATTCTTATCATCAAAAGAGGATTAACAATGGGGCCCCTATTAGTATGATATAAATAATAATCATGTTTTGAATGTTTATCAAGGATAATCAAAAAAATTCTAAAAGCTAAAAACCAAAAAGAGGAATCCCAAAAAGGTTTCAGGTACATTCTCAAAAAAAAAAATTATGGGATTTTAAATTCCATGCTTGATAAAAGGGTTTGAGAATACAAAATTCGAAAAAAATTAGTGATATAAGTAAGCAGGGTCACTGAATTGGCTAAGTCCAAGCTGTTGATTTGGCTGTATCTACCATATCAATGTCCTGCTGTCAAAATTTCAAATGAACGACCCTAAAGATAAATTTACCTGGTCGTAAGATGGAGGGAGATAACTCTCCTGTTGAGGAGGAGAAGAATGTGTTGTGTCTGGTGTTTGAGCGTCAGTTGTAGAATTACCAGTTCTGTAACGTTCGAAACGTTCATATCTTAAGAAAACATTGTTTAAATCATCGTTCACTCTCAATAACTCATCTATAAGAGATAAAATATTAAACACATAACTCACAGTGACAAACGACCAGATGGTGAATACTAATTACTATAGAAATTGATAATTCGTTCCTAATCATAGCCGTGCAGAACCAGGAATGTAATGACCAGATTAAGAAGTTATTTTACATTATAAATATTCAGTTCCAGTAAAAAGCGTGCAGATATCTGGGTTTCCAGATTATCGGCAATCCGATAAACACGGCTCCTATGTATCATTGTCAATTTTTTTCCTCGTAAGAAGGAAGAGTTCAATTTCAGCTCTTCATATCACTTGTTAAGATGAACACCCCACCCTCTGTTTTTTCTAAATCCTAAATCAATGTACAAGCATCAAGAATATATGAAGAAATTATGATTAGTTCCTCTTGCCACAGTAACAATACAATTGCATGCTCCACACGTGATTATCTACAAGGTGGAAAATGACAGACCGGAGATTTTTGTCTCCTCGTGTGCCTGTGTCAGTCGTTGACAATCAAGACAAGACTCTAATCGGCAACAAAAGTCTCCGTCCAAGACCGCTCCTGTGCCCGCACCTTTAAAGAGCACAAATACAGCAGTCTCCAAGAGAATAATATTAACTTACTTGTGATTTCTTCATTTCCTACAGTAGTTATTAATTCTACAGTTCTCTGTTGCATTTGTCTACATGTTCTATTTAATTCCTACAAATAACAGTAATAATTACAAGTTTCAGAATAACTTTAAGATAAGAAGAGGGCATTGTTTGTATGTGCTGTCATACAGTCATTGGATTATCAAAACACCAAGTGGATATACAAATATCATAATCACAATCAATAAATAATCAATAAATCATATGGGTATTAACTGTGAGGGTCTCATCTCCATCTAATACTTTGACATCATTAGGCACTGTTCTTTTACTGAGGAAGTTTTGTATTTGATTGGACTGTACCATAGTTAATACAGCCAATCAGAGTCCTTGACAGAAAGACTATAAATAATACAGCTGTACATGACTGTATTACTGTTCAAGGGTTTTGATTGTCCAAATTCACTAGCATAAAATCCATTCACATAGCTGTGATACAAGAAAAGTGCCTTTGATGCCAAGGTATAAGAAGTTGATGCGAAGTACATAATACCTTGACATTGTGAAGATGGCATATCAGAAGAACATCTGAAGTTAGTTTACCTGTAGTAATTCTAAATCTGACTGGTCTACAGACGTGGGAGATAATTCCGTTAACATTTCAGACATAACTCTCACATTTCCCTTCACAACCTCCATTTCACGTGTAATTTTAGTAAACTGATCTTGTGACGCTGGAACTGGTTCTTGTGATGGCATGGTCTGAGGTGTTTGAGATGTCTGGAAAAAAGAGGCAAAACATCTACTTGTGAATAATTATATACATATCTGATGGCATAATAAGAAAGATGGAACTATATTTTACAAGGATAACAACTTAGTTTCACAGTTAAGGATCCTTTTTACCAGCTGGTTCTTGACCAAACCTTTTGACATTGATCTTCCCGGATTATCTGTACCTATTTACAGCTGGTAATTATGAGTGAAGATTACTTATTCAAGGTCATCGAACTTTCACAGGCCGATCGAGATCGGAATTCACAGTCGCCATTTGCATGAACCAACGCTCTAACCGACTGTGCTATAGAACTTCACAAAAGCATTTGGACCAGCAGGTGGAGTAGAGACAGGGAGGTTTGGCATCTATAAAAAGCCTAAGCTTAATTTAGAATAGCTGCAACGTGTATCTACCCTAATCTTGAATTCTAATCAAGTATCTGCACGTCTTGGGACCAGGCCAGGTATTTTCGATATGATCTTAGCGCTAGGATTGTTTTGAGACTACGCGGCCAGGCTTTCTTGGGACATAAGAAGATAGAATAAGATATCTGCACCATTTCAATTTGTTCAAAAATGTTCCCAGTAACCATAATTTTGATGATTTTCAGGATTCAGGTCATGTCTCATTTGCCTATGTCTGATTATCTTTAGATGTTTATTATAAATTACTAATGGTGCGGGCACATGAATGCTCTAGAGTCTTGTCAAGTGTTTCGACCGTAAGCACACACACCAATGGACAATAAATCTCCAGTCAGTCGTTCTCCACCATGTCGATAATCTTGTGCAGATCATGCAATTGAAAAGACAATGAATCTGATTGGATAATGATACTCTGTCTTGCAGACGATAATACAATCTGTGACAAATATCGAACATGTTTGATATTATAAATCCTGTTGGCAATGCAATAACCTTGTGCAAGCTCAGGCACACGTGAGATTTTACTCAAGATTCGAGTTTGTGCCTGCACCTCAAGTGTTAACCAGAATAATAGTGCAGAGTAATAGGGACAAAGATTTTAGGGAATTCATTAGGTAAAGAGAAATAATGTGGTTGAATTGAAACAAAAATGGAAAGAAAGAGAAAAACTAATCAAGATAATTCTATATCCAGCCCATTGCAACCAGATAACAACCAGCTTACATTTGGCAAATCAGTTTTTCTGTTAGATCAAATAACAATTAATAGATGTGAAACAGGAGTTATTCTCAACAAGTTTTACCATTTCAGGTATCAAGTTTGTTATCGTCATGGAAATTTTAAATCCTTGGACCAAAGCAAGCGGATACAATTACAGGCATTGAGCATTTCAGAAATAAACTTTTTAAATGATGAAAAATAAAATAAAATATTGGTGTGAATTTTGAATTTTGACTGATCAACTTGGTTGAGAATTGCGGGAACTAACGACGTCAGCTTTTGTACGTCGCCAATTAATCTTATGACGTCGTCTAACTTGTAACTAACTTAACGTTGTCATGTCAGAATTTGAATAAAATGTGAAATCAACACAAGTAGTTTTTCCTATCTCTTTAAAACCAAACACAACGTGAAGCAAACAAACCAATCCCGTAAACTTCAAGGGGAGATCAAATCACTCATAGAGAGTTGTCAGTAGTACTTTCCAAGTTAGGCAAGGACAGACAACTCTATATGAGAGATTAGAGTAGACCTTCTTATTGGGTAGGATATAGGATTATTTAGAGTCAATTAATACATGCATTAGAAGATAGCTAGACTTACAGGTGGTACTCTATAAGCTTGACCTCTAGCAGATCGGTTAGTGTTAAGTTCACTATCAGGAACGCTCTACAAACAAGATAGAGAGGAAAAAACTACTTCTATATAGATATATACCAGAGCTGTTGATTTTAAAAATTCCAAACCAGACATTTTAACACCTAAAGTAAGATCTTGTACAATTTTCATTCAGAATGCATGAAAAATCCAAAAATTCTACCATAGAAAATGTCCTAAAGATCAAAATTGTAGTCAGTCATTTTAGAGCTTCATCAGACATGACTGGCAAAAACAGATAAATCAACAGCCCTGATAAAAAATATCCAACAAAAGAAATGTCTAGAATTATAAGCTATATATTTTTTTACAGATTTTTATGGGGTAATGCTGTGTTTGTTACCTCTTGGAAATATGGGAAATATGACTTCTGAGATGGTATATACCATTATTACTTCAAATTTTGCTCGGAAGTTGTGTTTTCTACTGGAGAACTCCCGTAGCTAAAATCATTTTGAGTTCACGCATATGACATATTAATCTTGTGCAACCAATCAGAATTATATAATGGACACACGTGATATAATTATTATGCAAATAAAGTATATTTCTCTCTATAGCACATGGGTCTGTACTAATATTTCAAATGTTTCCCGAATAGAATCAAGTGGTATTTACAACTTCCTAGTAGGAAACTTCCCTCTTCCCAGAGCTAACAAATACAGCATAAGTTGCCAAAGCCAGTATTAGAGAAACAGTGAAATGAGAATAGTATTCTCAAAAAAGCACTGGCCTAGGAAGCAAAATCAAAGGATGAAATAGATAGTGTAAACAATGAAAACAAATAAGAAAAGAGTAAAAAAATCTTCTTTTTTAGCCAGTATTAAGAGTAAAGAAGTTTGTAAAAACTCCTATGTAAGCACTGGCCAAGGTCACAAATACATAGATCTGTCAGATATAAGCCAGTCAAAGAGATCACCAGAAAACTCAGACTCATACAATGTGTAACATTATAAGATACTTATACCTATTACCTATTGTTTCCAGTCCAGTTTGACTCAAGGTTTTAACATAAACGATTATAACACAACGTCAACTTTGTTCCTTCGACTTATCGTTCTATTGTTTGTGTTAAAGGTAGTCTACCTCTTAGAATGAACATCAAATTTACATTCTAAAATTTGGCTAAAAGAGTGTATATTCATCATAATTATACAACAGAATAAATCTCTGTAAATCAATAATACTCAGTAATAATTAAAATATGATATACAAGGTAAGTTCACTGATGAAAATATACACTTATTGGCGTTGTTTGAGAATCTACATTCTATATACATTCTAAGAGGTAGAATTCCTTTAAACTCAACGGCCACAGTTCAAATATTGTCATGTATGTATTGAAGCTAAAAACTGGCTTACGATAGTTGACAAAAGGTTAAAGTAAGACTAGACTAATCTAAAAAAAATAATGAGACAAATCCAGGTATGTGGAGGTTTTCTCGTGTTAAATATTGATTGAACACAATATAGATCATAAAATATATAACATACATAGCATATTTCTCTATATTTACAGGTCACAGTGATATCATTTATATAATCAATTTTAATACATTAATCACTTTTAATTTAGTCTAATGAGAGTTCTCTATTGTCGATTTGGCTGAATTTACCAGTCAAGTCTGACTAGAGCTCTAGATTGTCGATTTGGATGAATTTACCAGTCAAGTCTGACTAGAGCTCTAGATTGTCGATTTGGATGAATTTACCAGTCAAGTCTGACTAGAGCTCTAGATTGTCGATTTGGTTGAATTTACCAGTCAAGTCTGACTAGAGCTCTAGATTGTCGATTTGGATGAATTTACCAGTCAAGTCTGACTAGAGCTCTAGATTGTCGATTTGGATGAATTTACCAGTCAAGTCTGACAAGAGCTCTAGATTGTTGATTTGGCTGAATTTAGCAGTCATGTCTGACTAAAGATCTAGCTTGTTTGCTGTATTTACTAGTCATGTCTGACTACAGCTCTAGATTGTTGATTTGGCTGAATTTACTAGTCATGTTTGATTTGAGATTCTGAGCTCCCAAACTGTTGATTTGATTGTATTTAAAGGCATCTCTGACTGGAGATCTAGCTTGTTGGCTGTATTTACCAGTCATGTCTGACTACAGCTCTAGATTGTTGATTTGGCTGAATTTACCAGTCAAGTCTGACTAGAGCTCCAGATTGTTTATTTTATTTCCTGATTGGGCCACAGTATTGTTAATGGGAGACTTACAGGCTATGCTCTGTGTATGTAAAATAATACAAATTTTGTGCATGTGGCGAAGGGGTAGGTAGCAGAACTGTGCCTTCTTTCATTCCGTCCCACTCATACAAATGTCACTGATCACGACCCAATCTCCATTCAAGGTCATCAGTTGAGAATTAGCGTTTAAAAGTACTGAAATGTCACCCAGGCCCGTAACCAGCCCATTAGAGAATTTGTTCCAAGTTTCCAGGGAGAGCAACGCCCCCCCCCTTCCCTTTCCCTGAACCCCCTTATTTATGGACCTGATGTCACCTCTTTACTTCTATATCAAATAAATATAAACAGACCATCAACTAATCAATATTTTATAATAAATGTTAGATAAAAGATGAAAGGTTATTTATTATGAGTCAATAATAACATTACACCAGACGGAAGATTGAAATATTCAACTGTCTGCTTTAGTCTGATGTAATTAGATCACTGTTGCAGAAATATATCACTGTCCATATAGTGGCGGCGTCTGCTTCCCAAAATTGGGGGTACAAATAGGGGGAAGACTGGCCCAATGGGGAGGACAACTGTATAGAGTCTGAATTAAGAATACGAACTCAACTCTCATGTAACTGAGTTGTGAGTTGCCTCAAGAACTCATTTTCATTATTCATAACCAGACACGACTGGTCATCGCTATGGTGAGAGGACATCTTTAGATTGAACAAAAATAAAAACTAACTTAGGATGATAAAAATATGGTTAACATCAGTTTTAGTGATTGGTTCAAAAACTGAAAAAAAAATAGCCCTGAATTTCACCCCAAAATGCCCAAGATCTCAATATTTCTATATACAATACCGATATACTAATCTAAAACTTACCCGAGCTGGGGTATGAATTGGTGCCATGCCATCTAAATCTGTCATTGGAAACTCAATTCCTTTTGTCTTTAATTCCTGGTACACTTTGTCCACCTCCTTCAATTCTGGTTGACCTCGGAAAGCGTCTGCCCATGTCTGTGAAAAAATATAGGAAAATGATAGAAATAAAATGGAGTATTACACCTTACTTTTCTGTTCTAAATTAGGCTCATGTAGATAAGCCATTTTTGGAATAATTAAGCTTAAAACATGAGGTTTCGTTATGTTTTAGTGCCAAATTAAGCAAACTATTTGATTAATTGGTGTTTCTAATGAATTATCATATTATATTCTTAATCATATCATTATGTTCTTATTGCATATAATTAAGAGTTTTAACCAATCATAAATGTCTATGTATGTGCAGTCTGGATAAACAAAAAACAAGACATTTTCACCTTTCTTGATCGGTCACTCATTGGAATTCTGCTGGTAATACTCTTTTAATTTAGCTAATTATGAATTAATTATGGACATGTGAGACAAACTGGTATTTTACCAAGTCATTAGAACACCTCTACTTTCTATCCATATAAATATAAGCATTTTCTTTATCATAAATGAAAATAAGGGAACCCTTCTTTAAAAAGAGCTTTTTCAGATGAAAGATAACCATTATTAATTAGGCTTGATAATTAAAAGGAGAAAATCTTGCTGTAATATTTTGCTCAATAAAAAATATTAATTAAACATCGTCTACAAAACTTGTCTGTTTAGTTTTCTTTAATTAGTCAATTTGGATCAATTTGAACACAATACATCTGTCAATAAGAAAATTTTTGGTTTCTATAGCAACTGACATCAATTGGAATACAATTTTATACTAGTACTAATTTGTTATTTCTTTTTTAGCACCATATGAATCTGAATCCTTGATGAATCTGTGATGTGTTCAATATGCTTTAATTTGTCTTTAACCACCAATATTTTTTTATAAGTTTTCCTATCAAAAAAATAACCATAAGAGATCTAACTTATCCCTAAATTAACCCCATAGGGCTTCAATTCCCTTTCATTTTTTTTACCATGATTTCTAAACAGAATTTTCCAAGTTTGAAAATTATATGTAAATATTTATGGCCAAATAGGGACTCTGTTCCTTTATTACCCCAAATTGGCTTTAATTTGTGGCCAAAAAAAAACTACAATAGGCCAAACAATAGTATTTTGAACTAATGATAACTATAATATATATTCATCTCTAATTAGGGCCATTCAACTTATCACTAACCCCTGCTATTTTTTAAACTATGATTCACAAAGTTGAAAAGTTGAAACAATGAGATCAATATGTCACCATGACCTGAGTTTTTTTTAAAGAAATAAAAAAGTGTCATTGTCTTGTCAACATTATTCTAATAACTTCACTTTTTATCTTGTCATGTGACACATTATACCTTACCTTATTATCATATTAAAGTAGGGTAGTCAGATATTAGATTATACAAATAGAACCTTTATTGGGTAACTGTATATTTGCCTGTATGGTGAACAGTTTTTTTTTTTCAAATGGCTTGCTAACATGGGTTCACAATCTATACCATGACACAAATGTGGGAATTTTTCACCAAAGGTTCTCTAGTATTGTTTATTATTTTTTTTTTATTTTTAGAGATTTTCCATATTAACTTGAGGGTATATTATATTTTAATATTATAATTTAATGGTAATCAAGAGAATGGATAAGATTGTATTCACACCAACACTCAAGCCTGAATCCAAACTTTTAATTGTGGAGTGTTGATGTCGGCCCATTTCCGGAGTATGTACCTAAACCCCTGGTTCCCAGCCTGGGTTGTTTTCACCTCCTGGGGATGTGAGACTAGGGTGTCAAGGGTGTGGCCAACTGGTGATTGCTCTAGGGGTGTGAAGGCTGAGAAAGGTAGGGAACCACTAACCTAGACTGAAATATCTAAATTAGCCTCCTTTAAACATAAAACAAAACAAAGAATGTCATACAAAGTGTAACATTTGGTAAAGACATTTTTTTTTTAATGATTAGGTTCAATTCATGGTCACCATGTTCATACTACTTACTAGTAAAGTAATATTTTGAGGATGTAGCATAAAAGCTGCTACAACAATACAATATTTTTTACAATTGTAAATATACATGAAGCGTAATAACTATTCAAATATAGTTTTGTTACATATATAGATATAAACATTGTTGACATTGGTACATGACTCACTCATGCAATTAACACTTAGCCAAAAAACAGCTAACATTTTGTCAATAGATTCAGTTAAAAGTAAACAATACTATGTTAGATATTATGTGAAATTATTTAGCATACCATCTTTTATAAAGATGAGAGTATCATTTTGAAGTTATTCATAGGAGTACCTTCACTATCTATTCGACCAATCATACCTTAGTTTCAGAAAAAGGATTTTTTTTAGCTTACATAATCAGTAATAATTTTCACAGCTCATCGTCGAAATCCATGTGTATCCATAATTATATAGAAAACACATATGTAGGAACAGAGAGTGACATTTCTAGTTCGAGGTATATTTGAAGGGATTATGCGAATTTAGTGCGTTTTAGTACTCCTTAAGACTATTAAAGCACAATAAAGACTCAATTCAATCCCTAAAAATGCCGATCGTTCCCCTTAAAATTAGTAGCAGTGCCCATATTGTGTATATGCACATATTTCGAGTATAAAGAAACCATTTAGCACTTTGAAAAAGAGAAGAGAACATCATCGAATATTTAAAACTATTAATCTGAGTAATTTTTATCCATTTATTTTTTCTACAATGTTATGTATGAAATGGTCAAAATAATTTGTAATCTTGCTTGATAAAAACAACAGTTAAGAAAGTAACAAATTCTTATATTAAAGTAAGTTTTACCCATTTAATTGTATGGACTAAAAACAAGTGTAAAATCATTTATGATTGGAGGTAATTTATATAACAAATTTGAGTACTGGTACAGCTATTTATGAGTCAGAACAATGTTCTAGTGTCTGATATATTTAATGAGTCTAATTACTGAAAACTGAACGAATAAAATAACCAAAAATTAGACTCTCTATGACTAGTCATTATACCATGATGATTCAAATGCACAATTTACTTATTAACTTTCAAAATTTTGACTCTTGGTGTCTAGAGTACAGAAAACAAACATCTTATACTGTTGACACTGTGTCTTGACTATTACGTTCTAATGAAAGCTTGTTTTTACAAATATGGATTGACTGTCCAATATAAAACTCTATCATAAAAGTAACATGTCAAACTGCCACATGATTCAAATAAAATCATGACAGCTAGGACAATATTGAAAATGAAATGAAATGAATGGAGTTTTACGTCCTACTTTTCTGCACTAGGACAATATTGAAACAGAAGACAGACTGCAGAAATATGTTCACATATAAATGAGGAAATCTAGTTTTGATATGGGGAGGGGGGTGGGAGGTAAGCTTTCCAACATAGGACAACATCATAATAGTAAATAAGTTGGCTATATATAGATATGACTCATAATTTTGTTTGTTTAGTTATAAAATTGTTTCTCACATAAAAAATTTCAACAAAGACTCAATACAACGTAAAACATACTTTCATTTCTACTTCATAACTGTTAAATTATACTTTGTTATTGGGGTGAGATGATATAAATTAAAGGGTGGGTGGGTGTCAAGTTTGTGTGTGTAATTTGTCAACATAGACTTTTTTACTTCATAACTGTTACACAATATTTTGTTATTGGGGAGAGATGAAATAAGTAAAGGGTGGGGGAGGAGAGGGGGGGGGGAGGGGGGCGGGGTGTCAAGGTGTCAAGTTTGTGATATTAATTTGTCAAAATAGACTTCTATACTATATAAGATTTGAACAACATTTAGAAGTTGAGAGAACATACAACAGAAACACAAGGGAATATAATATTATGGTATAACACACTCCTTTAATAACAAAGTACATAACTTTTAAACACAAGTTACAAGTGTCGTCATCAGATGAAAAGAAGAATAGAGGGAGGTAGTAAACATGGGAATAAATGGCTTCTATACCACAACTTTTCATTTTATGTCACAATCCCTCTCTCATCTTTTCTATCTTTTAATAGGACAGCTAATAGATATGTGAAATGGATTGGTCTAGTAGCAGAAGATAGTAAGATCTTATTAAGATGTTTATGGAACATAGCATGACATGTTTCTGTCCATTTTAGATTAAAAAAATCTGACATTTGTTATCATTGTATTTATCAAACATGTTGAAGAATATAAATATACATGCCTTTAGGCAAGGTGAATATATTCAATGAGAGTATAACACTATCAATAAATAGAACATCAATAAAGGTGATGTCAACAAAGACAGATTGTCTGATCGGGTGTTCCCGTAAAATGGACATACTCTGCCATTTTTGAGATGAACTTATTGAAGAGGAAGTTTAACTACAGATAACTGACATTACTCCTAGCACTGGTAGAGTTTATGAGAGAGAAGGGCTGAGTATCAATTACCCAATTGAGATCGATTATCTATGGCAGGCTATCGATCAATAACCCATTAATGATCGAAATATTTTAATTGAGAAATCTTCTAAATGAAGTTATAAATTCCTGGTGATGATAATTGATTATTTTATCCAGCCCTAGTGAAAGTATGAACATATTCCTTAATGATTGCTCACTGCAATTGTGTTGGAATTTACTAGTTACCAGGGTAAATAAATTCTTGTTTGCTGATGAAAAATGCTCATTTGACCATAACTGATTATCCTAAACTCCAGACCAACAGTTGTTCGTTACTATTGTATGTCACAATCTGCTGACTAATTGAACATGATATTTTGAATACGGATGAAGATGGCTCTCATTTGACCGTGACAATCTAGTGATTATCTGTGAAGATAAATACAGTGAAGATATTGATCAGTACAGTTGACTGATTTAATCTATCAATCATTTATTATATCAGTATACTATTAATAGTTCTATTGATTGATTTCTATTATATTGGCATTATATTCTGCATTCTTGAAGCACCAGTACCGTACCTATTACACAACAGTTCAAAACTGTTATAAACTTATATTAGCGATAGTGGAAAGATTTTAAACTACTGGTACTGAAAGGTGCTTATCTTGCACCAGTTTTATCCCTCATTTGTCTACATACTTTTTATATTGATTGATTTCTATTCTATAAGCATCAAATTCTTCATTCTTTAAGTTTATTTTTGGCAACAGTTCAAATTAAGCACAAAAAAAACTTTTGACAGTTTCTGCATATTTATTGCAATTTATATTGATTAATTTAGTTTCATTTTCTGGATTCGTTTTTCTCAAAGGAGTTAAAAATGTTACCAATCAAAAAGTATTCCTATGGGTATTATTATTTATAGCTAGTAAGATATATCTGTCAATCTATCCAATGTGATACAACATGTCTCGATATGTGTATTGTATCGCATGGTCATGTCTCGATATGTGTATTGTACCGCATGGTTGTGTCTCGATATGTGTATTGTACCGCTTGGTCATGTCTCGATATGTGTATTGTACCGCATGGTTGTGTATCAATCTTCGAAGGTATGCTCTAGAATTGAAGATAACAGAATGAGAACACATTGTCCACCCAATAAATAAAAGAGGCTTACCTGAATCAGACTGAGAACTTTTTCTTGAACTGCCTGAGGAGGATCATTTTTAGGTCCGATTATTTTGATGAGATCATGTAAAAAATCTTTGTGGGCCACTTGAAGGTGAAACCTTCTTTCACAGTTCTTGACACATGTTTCCAAACACTGCAAAAAAAATTAAATAATAATTCAAATGCAAATGGAAAGAACAAGTAGTCTTATATAATGAATTTCCTGCTTCATTTGGGCATCTGAAAAGCCAAAGAGAATGTAAACAGATGCCAAGTTTGAGGATACAGTTTAATAATTTAACAGTCAACATATGTTGGTATTGTCATCCTTTAATACTATTACAAATAATCTTAATAAATTAAAAACCCTGACAACTTACTGTAAGTGTGTACATGACTGCTGTATAGTTTTTACCAACATTCTGTGATAATCTCTTCTTTATAGCTTTTATAGCATCTTTAGGTCTGGAAAAAAATGGACAAATTTTAATATAACTATAATTCTAAGGTGAATTTCACTACAATTGCTAACATAAATTATAACACTAGTGGCCGCCACTTTACTAGCTACATAATTATATTGCCCAAGCAGTAAGTAGTAAGTGACTTGGTATAACGTTAACTTCATATACCTTCAGTCATAAGCTTATAACTTGGAGTATATGACGTTATATTTTGTTAACAATCTTGTTCAAACTGATAATGTACTGTTATTAACATCATATGCTTTCTTTAAGTTATATTACTTGGAGTACAGGGTATGTGACGTTGCATTCTTTTCACACTCTGTGTTCAAAAGCTTAAAGCTGATAAAGTACTATCACATTGTGACGTAATGGTATGAAAGAATGTCAATCTTTATTGAGGTTACAGTATCATAAGCGAGTTATTGTGAACAAAGAATCAGAAATATATTTTTAAACACATCATCATATTTCTGACTTGTCTAATAATTTCAATAAATGTTTACTTACCCTTCATCTGTGGCATTTATCTGATCACATATTTCCATAAATAAACCCCAGTTCTCCGAGGCTTGACTTCCATCTGTGGCCTTTTCTGGAGAAAGTAAGTAACAATAATAAAACGGCTCACGCTACTGACACAACCAAAATTCCCTGGCAGTGGCGGAGCCAAATGGAGGGCAACCGACCCCCCTAGCAGCCCCAAAAGCAAGTTTTTCGGGCAAAAATCACATAACCAGGTCTGCAATTTGTTCCCTGGTACTATTCCTGATTTACTGATTCTTAGTGAGATTCAGTCTGTTTTAAGCTCGCCAACTTTTAGACCAATTTGTAAGCCATCTTATCATCATGCAATAAGTTCAGTGAGTTAATGGAAGAGGTTCTGATCTGTTGTGGATAAATATCTCATATAAATAACAAAACTCTTAAGCCAAGATTTAGTATAGCTGGAATTCATCTTCAGGATCTCTTTGATTTGGGCCTTATCTATAAATAATTAGCCTTTATTTTTTTTTTTCAAATTAGCCATTCTTATTTGTTTATTTTCTAAAAATAGTAAAAAGCACTGCCATGCCATTATCAGAGCTACGGTATCAAATGAATTCATTGGCTGTCTAAGTTACATGAATATAACAGGACACATTTGTATCAACTAAACACAAAATATTGACATTAGACCAACAAAATAAATAGACAGTAACAGTACTGAAACATCAACCGACATCAATTGCAGTTTTCAGATAGTGTTCTAAAGAGAAGAAAGAGGGAATAAATATCTACACATTATCGTTGAAATTCGTCTTATAATAGATATTTACAAATGTCTACGCCTATCCACACATCAACCAGATAATACTGTATCAGTTTATGATATTGTCATCCTTCTGATGATTCATTCTCACCTATAAGTTGGCCAACTTGTGTAGCAAACGGATTACCGTGACCAAACAACGCAGCCATTTTGTTATTTTTATTGCCTAACCTCGGGATAGATGTCTAAAATATTTCCGGTTAAAATATTAGTCATCCCAGTAAAAAAATAAAATAATTTTGATACGAATGAAATGTGCATGAAAATTTGAAATATTTCTGGAAAATTTATGATTTTTGCTGGATTTTATATTTCGGTTTTGTTTTTGTTTAAAGCGTAATCAAACCCTTCTAGATAAAAACGTAACCATCAGTAAAATATAAATATTTATTTTTTGATATAAGTTACTTCTGTTGCAACTTTACATTTCATCAATGAAATAAAAATCTTCAAAATCTAAAATTAACGTAGATAGAAAAGCATAATTTGCCTTAAAAGCAAATATGGTTACGTTGTATTACCATTTGCCTCGTACCTACCGGAAATAATAACATCCATAGCTACGGGACGCCGTAAATTTATAATTTTTTAAAGATTTTTTTTAATTAATTGTAATTAAGGTCGTTGAAAGGAATTTTTAAATTGCATGGTAATGTTTGATTTAATGTTGGTTTCCGACAATCATGCGTGTCACATAGACATTCCTCCTCAGGGTCAGACTTGGAAAGAGTAGGCCAGATTTTTTTTTTGCATCAGTTTATTAGCAAAATAAATGTTCTGGTTCACAACCAGTATTGAGTATTCTATTCTAGAGTTTCCGAAACAAAATCACACAGTGTTGTCAACTCTCAAAATGAATAATTGAGATTTCAAATATGCAAGTTTAGTGTCTAGACTAGATTTAACCACTTAAACTTTAGTTCTTTCTGCAAATATTCATTGTACTCGTGTGTGTACAAATATTTATTGTTTGAAAATACTTTGAAATTTGAAAGGTGATTGCTTTTGTCCTTGCAGAAAAATTAACCCACAAAGATGAGTCGTTTATATGACACCGTGGAACCATCAGTTATTGATGAGGACATGTTACAGAGAGCAGTGGAAGAACAGGGACCTAAAGATGAAGCAGGAAAACTGGCGAAAGAAGAAGGCATTGATTTTAATGATGTAACAAGTTTGAGGCTGGATTTTAAAAGTAAATACTTTCTACAAAATATCTTCAAGTTCAATGAAGCATTCATTAAAAACATCAATGAATGAACTACAACTATCATCATGATTTTTATTTATGTATTAGCTCGCCATTTTCCACTTCAATGTAACTTTTTAAAACTTTTCATGAACTCATTATTTTGTTTCACAGATATTTTGAAGATAGATAATTTATGGGAGTTTACCAACCTAGTAAAACTACAGCTAGATAATAATATTATAGAGAAAGTTGAAGGGTTAGAATTATTGGTCAATCTAGTATGGCTAGGTAAGTCATTAGTTTTAAAATAACACTTGAGGCAATTCCATGACAAGGTTGATTCTGAAAGTCCACATAGTACAGTATTAAGTATATTTTGAGCATGGACTGTTGGTCGTGTACCACATAGTTTCTAATCTTGATCTGTGTTTGAAGTCTTTTGACCTTGAATAAGTCATATTGCTTCATTATTCCAGTTGACCAAATCCCCCAATTTATTTCTCAATTTCAAAATTGTAATATGATTTTAATTAGTTTGTCCTCAACCCAGCTGTCCTGGAAAGAACAACAACAAAATTTTGGCAAAGGTTTAGCTGATTGACATCATCCTGAAGAACCAAAGGTTTTTAGTAGTATGAGAATACATTAAAAATAAAATCTCTTTTATGGATTCAAGTATTCTATAAACATTCATACATTATTATTGTTGTTCTTTTTACAGATTTATCATTTAATAATATTGAAGTTATTGAAGGATTGGGTACACTGACTAAACTACAAGATCTAACGTTGTATAATAACAGAATATCTCGTGTCGAGAATATGGATAGTTTGACTAATTTACAAGTATTATCTGTTGGTAATAATCAGTTAACAGAATTAGAAAATGTAAGTAGAGCTACAATTTTTAAAATGATTGAAAATAATTTTCCCGAAATCGAAGTCGACTTTTCTTTCAAGATTACAATCAGCTATATGTTGGATTAATCAGCTTTCTGATAATTCCAGTCAACACGCTTATAATAGTTATTTGGTTTTTAGGTTTATTGCATTTTTGTGAATAATTTTGCAAAATCCATACAAGGACATGATAAAGTCTTATATCTTGTGGGCCACCTAATATAACATTCCTTTAACTTTTAACTTCTCCATTCCAGTTGATCTATTTACGAAGATTTAGACAATTAAAAACTTTAAATCTTAGTGGTAATCCATTCTGTGAGGACGTAGAGAAATATAAACAGTTTGTGGTAGCGTATTTATCACATCTAGAATTTCTTGATTACAGACTGATAGATGAACAATCAGTGAGTTATTTTTAGTCACTGTTATAGTGAAGCAGTGATATTTGTGAACATCTGGGTCCAAATCAAAACAAAAACACTAGTACTTCACTTATTTTGAGGTAGAATTATCAGTTTCATTTGAAAATTTATTAAGCAGCTACCAATGTTTCGCCAACATGTTGTTTGGGTTTCGGGTTTCATTTTGAAGTTTGGATTGTTAGTAATTGGTAATTTTGTTGACTCTGTCCATTTTTTGGTATTGTAGAAAGAAGCAGCGATAGATAAATACCAGATATCTATAGATGAAATCCAACACAATGAAAGAGCTGAGGAAAGAAAACAGGAAGAAAAGCAACAGAAAGAGGAAGAACTCAAAATTCACACGGTAAGTTTACAGTTTCATTATAACTGACTTCAAATTTTGACAATTTTTCTTCCTAATGTTTAGGACACTATATTTATAGCTTTAAGTTAAGGAATCCAAACACTTCACTCACTACAATTATTGACTGTGGCAGATCTAATCTTCCCTCATTGCGCACTGCATGGCATTGACGTGAATGCCAAATCATGTACAGAAAAGTAGGACATAAAAAACCATTTCATTCATTACCGTTTGAGATGGGAATTAAATGGGATTTTCAATTTAATTAATTCTTACTACATGTTATTTTATTGTGATATTTTACAGGCAGCGTACGTAGAATATCTAGATGGTAGCAGTCTGTTTGATAGTATGTACTCTGAAGATTCTGATGGTCAAAGATTAAATGAAATGCCTGGAGTGGATGAGCTGTTAGCAGGATATCCTTTTAAAAAAAACAAATTTAATGGCTGAATCTATAGCTTGAAAGTTAAAATTTTTAACAGAGATTTATTGATTTGTTGATATAAATCGTCATGGTTATGGGGGGGGTGTGTTGTTTCCGAATGTAAAATTCCACTATTTACAACTAATGGTTATTATAAGATATTAGAGAAATTAGGGCCTGGTTCGCTAGTTTGTTGGAGGGCTTAATTGTAAAAAGGCCCTGCCAACATATTTCCCCAAATGGCTAATACCATATTTTTGGCATTCAATTTTCATTTTATTCCTTAACTAATCTAACATATAAAGAGAAATTCCTAGCGGTATGTCAGAAAATATTTGAATATGGTTTGACTGAAAATGAGAAACGTCAGGCAGAAGTCAACCAGTTCTGGGAGTGTGTGGAGGAGGCCAAGACAGAAAATAAAGAGGCAGGTGTTAAAATCCTGGAGGCATTCAACGTTGAGAGAAAAAGGGTAAGCCAGTTGAATTGTTACACAAACACATATACTAGCAGTACTTATACTACAGCACTTAAAAATATATCGTTTGTAACCTGGGTCTGGGAGTTTTATTGGAATTTTATTCAATATCATATATTGATTATTTCTGAAAAAACTTTTCTATACCGATTCTGAGGTCAATTGAATCGTATCAGAATTTACCCTTCTATTCCATTCTCCACCATATGGAATTTTTTATTTTTAGTTATTAAATGAACTAGCCACAATAACAGACAATCAAGTTATAGATGATAAAATAGAGGCGTATCATGTCCAGATAACTGAATTATGGGATAAATTGATGGGTCTAGAATTACAACTCGTTGACCAGCTGGAGGTAAGTGCATTGCTGTATTTTTTCGTTGCTATACATGTCAAGGGCAGACTTCATATGGACCTCTCTTCTCTAAATTTTAACTAAGATTTAATCCAGATTTAATACAGCAATTTTATGGTTGATATAGCTGACTTTAAAATGATTTAAGTCATTTACCAAATACTAAGCTCATCTTAAGTTAGGATGGGGTCAAATTTTGTTGATTAGGAGAGATATATCCAAGGAATGCCTGTACCAGGCTACACAAATTCATGTCAAATTCCATCCTTCTTTTTAAGGAAATTATAAAAGATTTTGAGAGAAATATGCAGGAAATGGTATCAATGTTTATAGAAAATGTGAAAGGTCATTTAACACAATGCCGTGACCTAGAGAACATGCATCACGAACGAATGATGGAAATTTCCATCGTGACTCTGGAGAAGGTGATAAAGAATGAACTAGATGAAGAAATCAGTGAAGAATTGAGAATGGTAAGAGTTGGGTTGTTTAATCCATGTTTAGAATTTTCAACTCACTTAGTTAAGATTTATAGGTTTAGTTATAATATGCTAGAATTCTAGCATAGCTAAAGCAGGAGAAATCACTCTGTCATTTGTCTGAATAGAATACAGTAACATGTTTCAGGATCTTTTTAAATATCTATAAAACACTCTAAAATTATATTGTCCACAATTTTGACTGGAAATTTAAATGGAAATATAACCATATTTTCAGTATTTGTAAATGACACAATATTACTAAGAAATTACCTTATCAAAATCCTACTATTTATATTTCCAGCTGTTTGTGGATAAAGATACAATCATTGGAGCCGTGTCTTCGTCACATGACCTTCACTTACTAAAAATAGACAATAAGGAAGACGATATTGAAACAAGGATTAAGAATTGGTTGAGTTTGATGATGTCTAGAATTAGAAATGAAGAAGAAATCAAGAGAAATCGAGTTCGGGTCGTAGAAGTTAATCATCAGATTGACCAATTAAAAGATGAGATTGATAACCTCGAGTTTTTACAGGGACCTTAAATTAACGATGTATTGTAACGCGTGTTTATGACTGAAAACGGGCTTTTATTAATTGATGTAGATGAAATTGGGAAAAAGCGATACATCCACAAAAGACTTCAAACTACTAAATTAATTTGTGTTTTCAAAGAAAGGGGATTGTTTTGTGGAATTACAAGGACCCTAAAGTACTGAATTTAATTTTTTGACAAAGGTTGTTGCTTTTGAACTGAAGGCTTGGGTATTCAAAGGACCAAGATATGAATGAACTGTTGCTGAAAATGACTGGTTTTGCTTCATAAATTAATTTAGTATGTTATGGTCCTTGTAAAAACTGATTGTGCAAAAATTGTTGGGTTTGTTCAAATTATTAAATTTTACTCCATATTATTCTGAAGGATACTTGTGATCACCAGTGACAATATGGCTTGAGAACTTCTGTGATATTTCAAGATTTTTGTGAATTTTGTTCAAATCTTTTATAAATTCTTGTAAACAATGTTTGTAAATAATTTCTGTTTTATTTGTAAATATTTGTAATATTTATTTGTGTACATTTCAATTAAAGTCATTTTATTCCATTATCATGCAATACTTATTTCTTTAAAAACTCATTTTCTGAAAATAAAATTCTCTTTATCTTGAAAATCACACTCCTCTAACAGACGAAGCTTCTTAATAACTACTTCTCAATCTGCTGAATTATATCAGTCTATAGTAAGATAGTTATTGACTATTTGTGTACAATATTCTTTCTTAAGTCTTTGAGTTAAATGTCCATTTACTGGCATTTCAAGCCTTGGCATAAATCCACACTTATGACACAACAGTGTTTTCAGTTACCTTTACAATTATTCACCAATTGGTATAAACTAACAACAACAATAATAACTAAGGGATGAAAAATCACTGATATTTTTATACGGCACAGATATTCTGTCGTTCTAACGAGGCCTTTTGGATAACCGAGGAATTTTCACTGGACCAATGAATAAATAAAGCTGCAGAGGCAAGTCTAGACTGTAAATCAAGTTGATCTAAATCGTGATGCCATTCTACGTTACCCCATTTCTCAGACTGAAAAAAAAATATTCAAAAATTTAAATGAGTTTGGTTTTGATGTCAGAATTAGATATTCATATCATAAGACTATTTAAAACATAAATGTGCAGTCTATCATAGGTTATGCAAATATTTAGAAAATTTAACCCTAGAAAATATGGATTTAGATATTTTTCACTCATAATTTGTTTCCTCACATGCAACAAGGTGGTAATGAGGAAATATTCAGACAACTACATCACTACTATGATAAGAAAAATTGAGATATAGGGTTTTAAATCCTAATTTTCTAAACCTGATTGATAATGTAGACCAGAAGAGATATAGAAATAAATTACCTGATATTCCTGCTCTAACCTGGACAATTTGACGGCTGTTTCTACTGAGATAGATTTATCAACCAGCGCCATTATTAATAATAGTGACTTGATAGACTCCACAGCATAGCTATAACCTGAAATATACCATAGCATGGCTATAACCTGAAATATACCATAGCTTAGCTATAACCTGAAATATACCATAGCATGGCTATAACCTTAGATATAGCATAGCAGAGCTATATCCTAAAATATAGCATAGCATAGCTATAACTGGAAATATAACATAGCATAGCTTTAACTTACAATATAGCATAGCTATAACCTGAAATATAGCATAGCTATAACCTAAATATAGAATAGCATAGCTTTAACCTTAAATATAGCATAGCATAGCTATGACCTGATATATACCATAGCATTAACTTAAAATATAGCAAAGCTACAGCCTCACATCTCTTTCATTCAACTATGCTGTTTTCCTGTAAGTCTTCATAGTTTTGTTACAATCAATTCATTTTTTTAAAGACAGGAAACATTGTCATTTTTATAACCTACCAAATAACGCCCAATCACTATAAGATAACAGATGCCGTCTGATAATATCCTTAGATTCTGTACCCACTTCTGGTAGAGACATGGTATAAGTTGGTTTCACTTCAATTCCAAACCTGAAATATTACATTAACCATTTCTCAATTTGAACCAAATTTTTTTTTTAAACATAGTGTCACAATGCAAACAAAAATCTGTAGATTAGTGTTCAATGGGAGAATTATTACAGCCTATTTTGTTTCAGATAAGAGACAATACTATTGTTTATTTGACTATTTTATAGATATCTTCATCCAATATTGGGCCTACATTACTTCTTAATCATAAACTGCCGACAGATAACAAAAAGTTGTGTAATATAGGTAAGGCTAATCACTGAGGTAAATACACAATATATAACCTGCCATTACTAATCAAAGGTCAAGGGTCAAAGTTTGAAAATTTAGATGGAAAACAAGCTGTAATGAGTGTTGCACTGTGATCTCCATATGAAAAGTAAAACCAGCATTTCTGTTTATATTACAATGAACCAACTAAGGCCCACCTGCTTTCCAAAACCATCTGTTGTGATTGAATTCAAAAGGGGTTTAGGGGAAGGAAGAGCTGTGATAAAAATAATAAACCCTTCATTGACAGGCCAACTGTTTTCAAACATTTGGCCAGTGCTAAGACTGTTGGTATACTGTAAACACAGTCAACCAGTTTCAATATGATTAAAACTAAGATCTTGACATTTATTTCTTGTTTTATCTGCCTGTTAAAACACTTGCCAAATTATTTATAGTTCATAACAAAACCATTATACTGACCTGTGTGTTGCCCATTTAATAACAGGATCCCAGCTCTCCATCTGTAGCTGAACCAAATCTTCTGGTTCTTGTAATCTATAACTGATTAGCCAAAATAATTTCATTAACATTTTGTTGATAACCATGTAAATATATTATTGAAATATTTTCAACGGATAAGATAGTTTTTTAGAATTAACCTCTATTTAGTATGTCAAAATAATTTTAGAGAAAAAAATGATAATCCTGTGGAAATAATTCCAAATGTAAAATTCATGCATTTAATTTGGGTTTCATTTTTACCACAGGCCTAACACAGATCTGTTTCAATATTTGACAATGATGAGACTTTGCGGAATAAAGCTAGAAGAAAAATTTCTAGCTCTCCAGGTTAAAAAGCAATTGTATTGGGGCTATCTCTCCCAAGTAATAAAAAAGATCCTACGGTTGTCTTACCAAATTGTGTCTGTTTCAAGAAAATGAATGATGCCCTGTGTTAATATTTCACGACTCTTTTGAAAGGGATTGTCTAACGCTGTGTTACATAACGAAGTCTGAAAAATAAAACAAAATGGTTTCTCTAGTTTTGTAACTATTTGTTGATCTAAAAACAAAGTGGTTTATATAGTGTGTATAACTATTTATCGATCTAAAAACAAAATGGTTTATATAGTGTGTATAACTATTTATCGATCTAAAAACAAAATGGTTTATATAGTGTGTGTAACTATTTATCGATCTCAAACAAAATGGTTTATATAGTGTGTATAACTATTTATCGATCTCAAACAAAATGGTTTATATAGTGTGTATAACTATTTATCGATCTCAAACAAAATGGTTTATATAGTGTGTATAACTATTTATCGATCTCAAACAAAACGGTTTATATAGTGTGTATAACTATTTATCGATCTCAAACAAAACGGTTTATATAGTGTGTATAACTATTTATCGATCTCAAACAAAACGGTTTATATAGTGTGTATAACTATTTATCGATCTCAAACAAAACGGTTTATATAGTGTGTATAACTATTTATCGATCTCAAAAAATGGTTTATATAGTGTGTATAACTATTTATCGATCTAAAAACAAAATGGTTTATATAGTGTGTATAACTATTTATCGATCTAAAAACAAAATGGTTTCTCTAGTTTTGTAACTATTTATCGATCTCAAACAAAATGCAGTTAAAATGATTGTTCAGGGATATGCACAAATATCTTTGACTCGACAGCTATCAATCAAAATTACTTCTAGTTCCTCAGAAATACTGGAGAGTCCCTTCTCTAACACTAGGTCCTCATGCCTCTTGGTGAGTCCATATAGCCTATAATAAAAACATTATCCTCAATAAAAGTCCTTTTCTTAGTGTCCTTTAATATCATGAAGATTATTGAAGAAAATATTTATTAGAAAATTAACATACCAAGTGCATATTATGTCTCTTGATAACTTTATCTTGGGCATTCCATTCAGTAGCTACAGCTAGTGCCAGAGCTTCATTGGGAACTCGAAATAACTGACCACTTGGTGTTTTCAGTTTTCTTTTATCTAAGTTGATTTCAAACCACCCTAAATATAAGACAAAGACAAAATATACCAAAATTATTTCAAAGACAACTCAAAGTTGTTTATTTACGTGTTTACTAATGTATTGACATTGACAGAGACCTTAATCACAATCTTCAAGAGTTTAAAACTAATAATATGGCTGAAAGTCGATTGGTTTCATTCTGACCATTCACAATTGCCAATCTGCTAAGCACAATCAGCTAACAAATCATATAGAAAACTGCCATTGTGCAGAGCTGGACAGAAAAAGTTTGAGAGCTAGTAAATGCAAAATTCACTTCTTACTTACCATCTGATAATGCAATACTTGCATTTTTATAAAATTTCTTCACTTCTGCAATAAAATAACATTTTATATTAGTGTATTATAATCATGGATAAAGCTCATAAATTACTACTGAAGGCCAAAAAGAATTTTCGTTAACTTAGCTGCTGTCTGAGTCTTTCAGAATGAGTTGCCTCCCTTCGTAACAAACGAGTGTTAAATAAGCATATCAACAGATTTCTGTTGTTAAACGATAATATGATTGGTTTTAAGAGAATGGCTTTACCTCTGTATGAAGACATATATCGCTTAGAATGCGATAAGTTAGAAATAAGTGCATTTTGTTTTGGTATTTTAAACGAATTGTTAAGAAATCGACGGAAACAAAATCTAATGGGCGCCGCCATCTTTGTTTTTGCTAAGTATCCTTGGTTTTGATTGGTTTAATTTTTGACAGGGTTACGAGTGACCAATCAAATTTCAGGAATAAAAAGTTTTCGGTAGTCGGCTTGCCACTGTCGGCCGAGTAACACCTCTGAAATGCCCGTCCCAGTTAAACTTGACCCTCCACCACCAGCGGACTCAGTCCAGCCTGGAGTCACGACTTCTTTACTTTACAATGGTTCGAGATTCCAAGGACACCAAAAAAGTAAAGGGAATTCTTATGACGTGGAGGTTGTGTTACAGGTGAGAAGTCCATTAATGGTTGAAACTCAAAAATACAAAAACTGACACTTTCAGTTTCAGTGACAAGTCAAAGGGTCTACTGAATAGTCTACTGACTATTTCTTGAAAATGATACCTTTCTTTGCAACTGATTATGCTATTGAAGGTAGTTATGACATGCACCGTGCATGGAGGGCAGAGCATGGCCCTAAAACTTGAATATGTTACCAGGGTACGGAGGATGACAAATCAGAATTCGACTAGGCCTACCTGTTCTAAAATTGGTGATCAGTCAACTGGTTGCGTTATCTGTTATCAATCAATAATTGTTGAAGATATTCTATTTTTTCAGTACTGTGATATGGAAAAGGCGTATTTATGTGGATATTTGAAAATAAAAGGTCTAACAGAAGAATACCCAACCTTAACGACATTTTTTGACGGAGAGATAATCAGTGCTAAGCATCCATTTTTAACGAGGAAATGGGATGCTGATGAAGATGTTGACAGAAAACACTGGGTATGATTACATTTATTTGTGCCAATGGTAGATGACAAATTAACGTTCGCTTCCAGTGGAACTTCCAGCGGATGCTATATCACACTAATCTTATAGTCTTAACATTATAGCTTTACTCTGTGCCATTGCCCTCTGTTGAGTAGTAATTTATTAATTCTTAATCACCCTAACCCGATAGTCATATTAGACCTAGGGAGATTGCTCTAAAAATACAGTTGTCATTTCTGATAGTTTAGTAACCTACATTTTTTGGGGCATAACTAATTTTTAACTTCAATTTGGAAGTCTTATTAAAAATTCACTAAGATGGTCAAGAAGCTATGATCTGTTAGTACAGACCGAAAAAAGAGGAAGAATAGGTATAACTGTTAAAATTTCTACTGACAGCTGAGATTGAGCTAATATGAAGTTGATCAACAAAAGTTAGCTGGTTCACACACACAGTTAATTTGATTGACCAGAAGTGAAGGATTTATATCCATATAATAAGCTTAAATTCAAGGTTATTCATTTAGATATATTGTTTCTTTCATTTCAGGGAAAATTTTTAACTTTTTTTGAATTTGCCAAAACTTTTAATTCTGATACTTTTGATTATGAAGACTTAAAAAAGAAAGATTTTGTGTTTATGAGATGGAAGGTAAGGTTTCTATACAATATTTTCTTACTAATTACATTTTTCAAGGAAAAAGATGAGCTAATAGCAAATGAAATGACTTTCTAGAAAGCACAATTCAAGAAATCTCGCATAAGAACTAGTAGTAACATGCACAACTGTATTGTTTAGTTTTTAAGTCTAGGCCTCTGATAGACTATGTTTGCTACCATACAATCCAATCAAATTGCTGCAATTTCAAACTTTTGTGATACAAGAAATGTGCCTAATGATGTCAAGGTATTGGGCAGAGATTGTGATTGCTTGCGTTGTGAAAGTGATTTCTTATGATCTATATATAAAAATAGAACAAGAAACATAGAAACAGAACTAAAAAACATGTTATTTAGAGTTTCATGATATGAGCTCTTCAGACAACTGACTTATATATCCAGCCTGCATCTCTAATGTGAAGTTGGACAAGTAGAACTTATTCTTATGTCTACACTTCAAGACGAATTCTGGTATATAATGTGAGACTAATTTTTGTCCAGTTGTGCCAGGCTTACTGCTTCTCTATCAATACATATTCTCATATTTTCAGGAACATTTTTTGGTACCAGATCACACGATAAAGGATATTACTGGGGCTTCTTTTGCTGGTTTTTATTATATATGTTTTACAAAATCTACTGCTACAATAGAGGGGTATTACTATCACAGAAGCTCAGAATGGTAAGAACTCCGTGATTATTTTCTCCCTTCGTCTCAACAACTGTAATGGTCCATTTCAAAATTCTGTCATTAATTAAATAGAATTAAGTTATTCCATCTTCAAAATAATGGTTTATTACTGATGCAAATCATTTAATAGACCTCGTCAAATATTAACCTGGGTGTAATGATAGAATTTAGCAAGAGGTTTTTTTGTTGATTCCACAAATATATGTTGCAACCCGGCTTACAGTGAATAAGTAATCATAAACATTATTTATGAAAGCCTGCTGGATGAAGTCTTCAGCCTGATTTATTCTACATTTGTAAAAAGCTTTGTCAACCCATTTAACTTTAAAATCAATTTTATTTCCCTTTCCAGGTTCCAGTCGTTGAATTTACACCATTGCCCAGATCGAAGTATTCCTATCTATCAGTTTCGATAATTTGTAAACAGTAGTGATACTGAAAGACAAGAAATAACCCTGTCTTGAACTGTTTTACCAAGATTTTATATGATATTAGAGTTGATACATTGTTTATAGCATAACATAGCTTATCATCCGACGTGATATACAGGCGTTACTTGCTCCTTTGTCATGATATACAGACGTTACTCGCTCCTTTGTCATGATATACAAGCATTACCTGTACCCATGTCGTGATATACAGGCGTTACCCGTTCCTTTGTCATGATATACAGACGTTACCCACTCCTTTGTCATGATATACAGGCTTACTCGCTCCTTTGTCGTGATATACAGACATTACCCGCTCCTTTGTCGTGATATACAGACATTACCCGCTCCTTTGTCGTGATATACAGACGTTAAGTGTTCCTTTGTCATGATATATAGACTTTACCCGTTCCTTTGTCATGATATACAGACGTTACTTGCTCCCATGTCATGATATACAGACGTTACTCGCTCCTTTGTCGTGATATACAGGCGTTACTCGCTCCTTTGTCGTGATATACAGGCCCTTTCCTAGTCTTTATTATACAGGTGGGATTTGAGCTAGACATAAAATATCACTTTTATGGGGGTTGCCGATGTATCATGTCCAAGGATAAGGTAGGGTCAGGTTTGTCAGGCTAATATTGTTTATGGTGATGCATAATTGGAATAATATAATAATAAATATGCAAAGGGAAAAGATGTGTATAACTTGATATTGATAAATTATATAAAATATCAGATTTACTTACAAGTAATTGTAACATTTGTAAGATGAACTGGGACAAGTATCAATAAAAGCACTGGCCTAGGTCACAGAAGTTTGTGTTATTAAGACCAACGGCCTTGTTTATAACACTTTAAAACTATTGTTAGAATGACTTGTGACAAGGGTTTATCTTGATAAACTTTACAGTTATCAGTGTATAATCTTATAATAAGAAGAAAAAAACACACAGAGATATATAGATATATAATACTCATGAGAACTGACATTTGAAAGTTTTGCTAATACCTTGTTGTTGATGTCTAATATAATTTTTTGAATAATTTTGATTGGTGGAAAAGTAAAGTCTTGTAAGTTTCCTGTAAATTCATGTTATTTATGACTTAAATTGAAGGCAAATATTTTGGGAGAAAGTAAGCTTTAAGAATTCCATAGTCTTCCTTCCTTATCATTCTTTAGACAATTTTTACTGCTGTCTTTGAAGTTTTTGTAAAAAAGGTGTCAGAATTTTAACGGATCTGTCATGTCTTTGTTGTTTCTGAAAAATGAGTTTTTTCTTAAAATTACTTATCTGCTGAATTCTTTTTTCTCTTAAACATAGATTGTGAAGGAACTTGAAAATGAAAGCCAAATGGCAAAAATATTTTAAAAACATTTTTGTTTTGCAAAAAAAATGGAGTGAAGTAAAGATATTTTCTTATGTAAGAGAAAGTTATTGAAACAATTGTAACAAAAAATATTAATTGTAAGCTTTTTGAGCCCAGGGCCCTGTTTCTCTAAAAAATCTTACAACTGTTTTTGGAACTGGGCCTATCATTCTTGAGACAGAAATTAATCAGAAGATTTCTTGAGGAGAGGGCCCTTGTATATTAATTGTATATTTTGAAGCGTATTATAAAAAGAAAGCTTACAGCTCATGGCCTTGTTCTTCAAAAAATCTTGCGATCAATTTTGTCACAAGTGAGCCGTATCTGATGTAAAATTCCACCGATACAACAAGTTCTTATCGTAAGTTTTTTGAGAAACAGGCTCCTAAAGTCTGATATTTATTTTTGTACGATATTGTTATACCCAATAGGGTTTGTTTCTTTTTTAGTATTTTATAACTGTCTGTTTCTAAACTCTGTTTCTTTACCTCGTTTAATAAGAACACTACTTAAACAATAAAATCTTCAAAAAAAAAGCTGTGTAGACAAATCCATAAATAACAAGAAACATTTAAGCTAGCTCACAGAGAAGTGACAAATTCAAAAGATGTAAATAAATATTATTAACTATGTGGACTCTCTGAAAGAGCTGTAATTTTGAAAAACGAAGATAACCAGAAATATTGTTAGCTTCATAATATGCTCTCTGAAAGGTGAATACAAAGTTTCCCATTTATAAGCTATATGGATTGTTTGAGACATACTAAACTAATAAACCCAAAATAACAAATAAGCATTATAAGCCTTATTGACGTTCTGAATGAAATGCTAAAATGAAAAACTTGAAAGTGTACATACTAAGTATGATTAACCTCCAAAAGGGTGTTAAAAAGACTATTCTTTTTTGATTTCCAAACTGTCAAACAAAACTTTGTGTTGGTACTAGCCAGCAGTTGTTTCTGGTTTGAAAATAAAAATGGATGGCTTTGTAACAAATATTATTCCTCCGTTTAGATTTGATTCATTTGAAATGATGAGTTTTATTTTGTTTAATTGCCAGTATTTCGTTAATAAAAGATACATTTTGTACATGAAGTTTGTTTTTTTCTTCTCAAATTTGACCTTCCTCCTTATTTGTCCATTTGGGAATTTCAAGCAGTATTGACACTCAACTCTGAGTTATATTCTAGAGTGTGATGCACTGTCGTACTATTGTCTATTTATAGAAACATCATACATCATCTAACTCTGGGTTATATTCTAGAGAGTGATCAACTGTTGTACTATTGTCTGTTTATAGAAACATCATACATCACCTTATGGGTGATAATCTAAAGGGTGACCAATCATGAGGTAAAGCCCTTACTCTGGGATATTTCCAGAAGGTTGTAAGGACTACACAGATGTTCAAGGATGTTGACAAATGTCAGAAACACCAGACATGGCCTACAGATGGATTTTAGGTATTAATATATCTTAAATTTCTTGTGAGTTTATTGTAAATTTGGACTTTCTGTTAAAAGATCAAAATTATTTCAATAAGGTAGGCCTATGCGAAGGATTCTCTCAAATAATGAATTGTGGCCAAGTTTCTCAAATAAGCTATGATGCAAACAAGCTAACAAATTGTCTATGAGCAATCTTTCGTTTCGGGTTGTATTTTTCGTTTCATTTTTTAAAAGACCCGTTGTAAATTTTACGGTAGCCTCATCGCGCATGCGTCAAGCGGTGTTTTCAAAATTTAAACGGTTGGACATAGAAAGGAAAAATTTAAAATATTTCTTCATTTTCTAAGCATTTGTGCAAAATATCCATCGAAATGGATGACGAGGATAAGGAATTTGAATGGGAGCTTTGTAAAGAAAATGTTTTGCCTTTGCGTAGTGGCAGAAACTGTTCTACTTTGAATGCTGTTTTGCAACCAACCACCGAATGTCAACAATCATTGTTGAAATCTGAAAAACAGTGAGTTTTCTTAATTTTTATGACACCTATAGAATTTACAATAAAGCACTAAGCTATTTAATAGGGGGTATTATCTCTACCTACACCGATCCCTGGACTTGCAGGTAAGCAATCAAGCGTTTAGCTCACTGTTCCACCGCTGCTTTCTCTCAGGCTTGGGGGGTGTGGTCGACTGTACTGATGTGGGGTTTATTTCCTGTTCTAACTTGATTTATAAAATGGCATTTATTCCTTTTAATTTATTTCAGTGACTTTGAATTAGAATTACGAACGTATTCTGGTGATGATCCTCTAGATGTTTGGGATAGGTAAGATTTTTTAGAAGATTAGCTGAAGGCTACCGGTACCAACTTATTACAAGATGCCTAGACTTCTTTTGCCACTAGCTTACTTGCATTTTCCAGATTAAAAAACTGATATTTTCTTGGTCTGGTTTGGTATTAATTAACCACCAAAATTGGTTTTATAGTAATAGTTGTGATTAAAATGGAAGAAATATTATCTATGTTACTTTTATAAATATCAGGTATACCAAGTGGATAGAAAGAACGTTTCCATCGAGAGGAGCAGGGGGAAAGTTTATCGAACTATTACAGAATTTTTTAAGAGAGTTTAAAGATGATGCACGATATACTAATGATGCTAGATATATAAACTGGTGGATTAAATTTGTAAGTGTTCATGTTCTTCATGTCTTAATATCAATCAGGGGCCGTATTCACATTCTCTTCATCTGATTGGTTAATCTCTCGAATTGGTTTTAATAATGGAAACACGCCACATCTAATGTGGCCAAAACATGTACAATTTACAAGACTTAAGGATTTTATAAATTAATTTCATAGTTGTTTTGTTTATGTTGTTTTGATGAGTTTCTATTTCGCTGAATATTTGAGACAAGTTTGTTAATTGAATTAACCACTTTATGGCAGGCATTTTAAATCAGTCGCCAACATCAGTGACTTTCGATTGTCTGTGACAATAAGAATATTGTATTTGTCAAATTCATATTTCATTTTATGTTCAGATTTCAGAAATTGAATGTAAATGTAGTTGTTTCGTGTCATGCTTTTTCTGCAGGTGACTCCACTAACCATCCATGATCTGACAAAATTGTTATGCATCCGCTGCTCTGGATCATTTAATATTCAACCTATCAAATGCTCTGTAGTATTGAGAGTATTTCCTTACTAGAGGAATCGGGGATATTCATGCATATTGACTGGTATTTTCTAGCTCTTTTAAAACTTTTGGTTGGTCAGCATAGATTAATATACAGCATTCCTTGTAAAACACTATTATATTTGTTTATGATTTTATTTTGTAGGCCAATAACTGTGATGATCCTCTAGAGATTTATAGCTATATGTTTGACAACGCTCTAGGCTGTGATCTGTCTTGTTTTTACGAAGCCTGGACCGCTACATTAGAACAAGTGGGCAATATACAGAAAGCTGATGCTATTTATAAAGAAGGGTATAAAAGGATAAAAGAACCTCCAGCAAAATTAGAGGTCAAATATCAGTAAGTATTTCGTTAGCCCTTTAAACACTGAATCTGAATAAATTAATATATATCATATATCCTGAACTCCAAGTTATATATCTTAAAGTTTATGACATTTAAGTTAGGTGACATCATTTGGTAATAGCTGCTCGCGAATATATTATGTTATGTGGCTGGTAGCTTGGCTGCTGGTGTTATTATTGTTACTTCAACAGTTTCAAAGTTCTTATCTTCAAGTTGGTCAGTGCTTTTCAAGGCTAGCAATTCATTTTTCAGGATCCTTTCTACCAACTTGAATAGTGAACTTAAGATTTGAACAGCATTAAAAAGCAGAAAGCACAAAGGAATATATTAGGCTGTAACAGACCATTCTCCTTTTCAACACAATTTTATTAGCTTCTTTAGAAAAGAAGTGTCTGATACGGTCATTCCCTTGTGGTTTTTTAATATCTTACAGTAAACATAATTGTCTTGTTTTTTTTATTTTCAGAGAATTTCAGGCGAGAGTAGCAAATGGTACAGTACAGCAGAATACTGATATAGAAGATGACAATCCACCAGAAGAAAGAACTGCTCTAGGACAGTTGAAGGGACATGGTAAAAGACAGAAAGTTGGAACAAATAGAGTTGGAGATGCCAAACAGTGTAAGTAACATAATCCTTCATTTAGACATTTAGAAGTGTCCCTGTCAATTAAGAACAACAATGTTTAAACAATAACAGGGTTTTAAACCTATTTATAAGATCTTCAAAACCCAGATATGTTAAGAAAGATGAATATTTTTGTAGTTCAGTCATACCATCATTTTCTCCCTACACAATTTATGTCACGTCTTCAGTTTCATTTATTTTTTTAACAAAACTGATCTAGCATCCGCCATTTAAAAGTTCATAGGTCATAGAGTCACATGATACTAACAAAACCAATGTTAATAGCTAGAATTTTTTTTTACTTTGAATTGTTTTTAGCTTCAAGAGGTGGTCTTGGTATTCGCCCCCAGCCTCTACAGACCCAGAATCAAGGCTTTCAAATCTATAATGAAAACGCAGAACCTTCTCTAGTACCAGTTCAAACAGGAGAATGGCAGACATTACCTACTAGAAAACAGGTGAATAGAGAAAATGAACTACAACCTGGACCCTGGAAGACTAAGGTATTTTATACACAACAAAATTTTTTATTATGCCATTTAAGATCTTATTTTTTTAATCTATTTTTGAACTCCATTTGGACAGACTTATATCAGAATTTCAAAGATATGTTAACACTAAAGCCCTATAACCTAGGCCAGTGCTTTCATTGAGACTCATCTCAATACACTCTAACACTAAAGCCCTATAACCTAGGCCAGTGCTTTCATTGAGACTCGTCTCAATACACCCTAACACTAAAGCCTTAAGAAAGAAATGGTTTGTTTTTACCTAACCCTGGCTGTTCTGATAAATTTACTTGAAGTAGTAGTTGTCTGACTTCTTTTTTCATGTTTTGTTTGTTTTTTCAGCTACCCCAGAGACCAGGTAGTGTCAGTTCTATTAGTGGTGGTCAACAACCCAGTTTTAAAGTTCATGTAGAGGCTGATGATACTCTGGTGTAAGTTCCAGCTTCTAGATTACTTCTCGGAAAATATGATTATTTTACTATATTGATTGATTTAAAATACTACTTGCTATTAAGGAATAGTTCTTCTGCTTTTAAGTTTCTAGTGTGCAAGTCGGAGAGGATGGACTGACATACAAAAAGCGTCTAGTTGTTTGGATGGGATAATCAACCTAGCCCTGTATGTTACAGGCTGTGAAGGTTTAAGATCCCTATACAGTATACAGATTAGGCTATTGACGCTGTCCTTTCAAAATTTCCCCCTTGCATACTGCATACTGCCTATCTTAATCAGCCTGATCAGATACAGAAAGTAGCATGTAAACCTACATTTCATTTCTTATTTTTGACATTTATTTATGATTAGATATTAACCTCATGTTGTATTCTGTATTCTACAGAACACCAAGAAAAGGGCCTGTTGTTGATAATAATGTATTAAGGTATGTGTAAGAGAATTATATATCCATTACAAGCTATGTCAGGTCTCTGACAAAATGTGACAAACCAAAATACTAATTCAAAGAATATCAGCTAGATGTTGAGCTGACAACCCAAATACCAAAAAATGATTTTTAGCTACTCTCAGGAGTAGATAATATATGTAGTTGACAACCCAATTACCAAATAATCAGTTAGCTATGTAGACTCTTGGAATGTTGTTGAGTTGATAAACCTAGTTTCAGAGCTGTTTCTATTTCTTTGCAAAATGTGGAGCTCCTTCAATTGTATTTTAAGGAAATAGTTTTGATATAGTCCCATTATTATAATTTTCCATCTGTTTCTATCAGTGCTAGGAAACCAAGTAAAAGTTCTGCTGACCCACTAAATGCTATACGAACCAATACTCAGGGTGCAATAGACCAGGTACCAGCCTACTGTAAATCTAAAATCTATACTGGTACAGAGGAATTCTGTTTCGAAGAATTACGTGCTGCTAGGTATATGAAGGAGAAGAAAGAAAAGATGAAATTGGAGGAAGAAAAAAGAAAAATACAAGGTATGGATTGATCCAAATCTACTTCTAAATCAGAGATTATTCATTTTCATAAATTTCTTGGGGGGTTTTGTTTTCAATTTTGTATGCAGATTTTATGTTAACAAGCCTGATTACTGTATTTCTTAAAGCATGGTTTCATCTTAAACATATGCCCTGTTTATAGACAGTACCTCTGAAAGATTTTTCTTAGAAATAAAGAAAGAGTAGGGAGTTGCCACTGTCTAGGCAAAATTTTCCTATTTGCACACTGCCTAGTGTTACCAGTCTTCATTAGATCAATCTGTATCTTCACCTTGACATCATTATGCATTTTTCCTGTATCACAGGAATAAGTAAACACACTTGGATTGTACACAAGTAAGGTCAAGATATTGCAAGCTCAGTCTTTTACATTGACATTGGGAAGATGGTCAATCAGAAGCAGAAAGGTAGGTTATGACACTCCATTAAATTTTCTTATCATGCTGTTTCATTCCTGTTGTACTATTTAATATTTTTCAGCTGAGAAAGAAGAACTAGCTAGAATGAGAGAAGAATTGAACCAGTACCACCTGACAATGAGAGAAGAACTTCAACAAGAAAGACAACAGATTAGACAAGATATATTATCTCAACTTCAATCTAATGTCCAGCCATCTTCTTCTTCTCAAGCATCTTCTGTACCTCAACAATCTTTATCAAATCCACCACAAGACAGGTAAGATACAGGTTTCAAGGATCCTTTAAAATAGCCTGATCTTGGCCCTGTTCTTTCTCAGTGTTCCCATTCACCAGGTTGAGACATTAAAGGCCCGTTTACACGACCTGCCGCTTTACTGACCCGGCTTGACAAAACTCCAGGATCAACTCTGTTCGTGTTTACACGAGGACAGTCTGGTTGTAGCCATCTGTCGGTATAAAAAGCTGAACCCGGGACGAATTGGAGTTCGACCTTAGTTATTCTCATGTAAACGGCCCTTAAACCAAGGCTTTATTTTCTATAGCCTGTGCAAGTCAACATTTGAAAATTAAAAAAAAAAGACCTCTTATGTCACAGGCAAATGTTTTCATTGCAAACTGCCTGGCATTTCCCATCTTATATTACTCCAATCTGAGGCTGAAGTGTATAATGTAAAATCCATCCCATTTAATCTAATTTCAACATGTTTGTGATTTATTATTCATTTGTAAAGAAAGTTCTGTAACAAATGTTGAATATTTCATGACTTCATACTGATTGTTCTAATGATTATTTTGAAGAACATCAAGTCAAAGACCGGTACCAGTTGTCAATGACAATAGATTTAGTATAGTTCCTCCTGGTAGTTTGGACAATTCCAGGTAATTGAAATACCTTCATGATTAGCTATGTAGTCTTTGTCTTTGAAAAGTATTTGTTAACATTGCCTTATCTGTACACTTAAAATAACATAAATAAGGTTTTTTTGTCGAAGTGAATTTGACTAACAGCTGCAAAACATTACTGATAGTCTTCAATGACTTTTCTTCAATAAAATTTAAATTTTGTTCAAAAAGGATAAAAACATTCTTCCCTCCCAAAAATTTCAACTGAATATGTCCGCAGATTGTCCCTGCAAAAAAGTAAAAATACCTACACATTCTCAACATATATTACTGTAACTGTTAATGTGCCTTGTTTTACTACTGACTGTTCTCTAACAGAACATTACCTGGAAATTTCTTTTAATTACATTAATTTATATTTCAGAGAACAAGCAGTGACTAAACAGTTAAATTTTGATGAAATGACTGTCAGTACTACAGATTTGAATATGGCAAGTGGTGTCCAAGGCAACAGATCTTTAAATCACAACTCCAGTCAAGTTACGCCTAATTTATCAACCCATTCAGCTTCCACGACATTTTCCGCTGGTTCCCGTCACCATGTTAGTTTACCAACACCAGATAGTGACAGTTTATACAGACGACATGGGGTAAAGCATCTTCACACTGTCGATGAACTTTGACATCATTTGGCATCTGTATCACAGAAGTTTGTAAATGCAGTTATTTGATTGAATTGTATGTCAGGGAATGCAACCAATCAGAGACCTTGACTAGTAGTTACATGTGTCCATGTATTTGCTGGCATTTACAAACTTTCATGATACAAGAAGTCCAACGATGTCAAGGTATAAGGCATATTTTGTAATAAATCCTTGCTCATTGATTTCTGTACGATCTTTTTCAACCATCATATGTTTGTTTCAGATGACAGCCCCATCACCTACAGTACATACTAAAGAAGCCTTACAGGTTGTCATGGGGATGTTTAATTCATCTCTTCATGTTGATCCTCATTGGACGGATCTTTCAGAGAAAATGGAGGGAGTAGAAGAAGTTCAAGGTCAGCCAGAATTTAATATCTCTAAAATGATTGGTCAATGAGTTCACGCACTCTTCTCATGGGTCTCAAAGATGCAGAAGAACAGGATGTAAAACTCCATTCATTTCACTTTATGAGCTTCATGGAATTTGATTATTGACTTTGGGTGACATGACACCTTTGTATTTGTTTCCTGCTGATGAAATGTTGTTGAGATATATGATGCAAAACCATTGCCCATGTGCTACAGGCTGTGTATATTAACTACCATTCTAGAGTTTAATTTCATTGTTTTAGAACCACCTAAAGTTGAAGCAGCACCGTTTAAAATCTATGATGAAACTAGTGAGGGTAATAATGAACCAATACCTCCACCATTATCTGTTTATGTTGATAAGGAAAACATGGAATATCAGTGAGTCTATAATTTACATTTTTTCATCCTTTACTCTGAGGCTTTGAGTAACACACGGCACTAGAGAATTATTATCAATTAGACTTGAGAAATTTATGGTTGAATTGTGGAGAAAAAATTAATATAATTATTTATAGTGCCACTGGAGTCTGTTAGTTAGATGCTTGTCTGCTTGCCTTAAGGGCTTGGGTTCAATCAAAGTATAGGATAAGATGGATTTTTTGCACTGTCAGTAATGCAAGACAGAAGAGCTGACATGGAATAACCGTCTTATCATTCGTGAGGGACAATAAACGCATTCCTGTCATCAACAGGCTTTGCATGTTAAAGATCCATCAACAGTTGGAAATTGATAAAGGTTAGGCTTATGCTCTATCTTTTTGAAATTTCCCTCATTGGTCACTGCAGTAATGTGAGATGTAAAACTTCATTTCATTTCAATTACAGAATACCACTAGAAAGTAAAGTAAAGAATATAAAGAAAAAACCACTGGGTTTATGTACAACAGAGTCTGTAGTGAACAGTGAGATACCTACAGATAGATCATTACCTAAACCCAATATACAGGATAATCCTTCACAACATGTAAGCTTACATATTATCTTTTTATTGGCTGATAGAGTTTTGTTCATGTATCAACTGAACTTGAATTACAATTTTGTATCTATTTTTACTGATATATAGAAGAAAAAAAAAGAGACGAAATTGTAAATGATTGATTTCTGTTGTCTTAATAATAAATTCTATAACCCAAACATTGGCTTTCACTCCCTTAATACCTATCCTTGAATATATGAATATCTCCTGGAAGGGGTTAACAACTTTCCAACTGTGTAAACGTCAATACTTCCCTCTATCACTGGGTTGGAATACTGTCTTTTTGTGGTAGTGGAATAGCTCAGTCAGTAGCGAATTGGAATTTCGTCTGCTAGGCGATAAGATGTTGTGGGTTCGAATACTCAAGGTAAAAAAAATTCTGATGCCTGTGCCTGTGCTTCCATGAGTCGTCTCTGTGTCGGCTTTCACCCCCTAATACCAAACATGTAGTGACAAAATAAGAGAAGAACACATAAATATAACTGATCTCGATAATTCTATATGTTTTAACTATTTTCGTGAAAGTGTCAATGAACACGTGTTGTTTAAAAAGATGGTAGAAAATTTTAATTATTACTTCAAAATCTTAGAGAATTATGATCATGATGAAATGAATATTTTGTTTTATCTAGTGTTATGTTTATGAGGAGAAGATGGATGATTTAGAAGATGATTTCACCATGGCCTCGGTTGGATTCAGTGCCACAGCTCGTTTGGCTTCGACACCATATAATCTATCCAGTGACGTTAAAACATTGTTCGCTCCACCGCTAAGTACGATAAAATACACAGACAATACGATCCTTGACACCCAGCATAACAACGCCAACCAGTCAGCCCAGAATACATCGCTCAAACAACCTTCTATTAGTCAAGAGAAGACTTTAGATATCCATATGAATACTCCTAGTAAAATGAAATTGAGGTGGGTATATCTCTACTAATATGTATCCTGAAGAATGAAACTGAAAATTTGATGTTAAAATAATTGTAAATATAATGATGTATTCATTGCTTTTCGTAAAATTGGAATTTCCATAATATTTCTACTAATATGTCCTGTGTTAACTCTTGGAAAAATGGGAAGAAGAAAAATTTCTAGTTAGAAATAACAAATCCATTGACATTATGTCATTTTTTCTAAGTATTAGAGGTATTGAGCAATCCAAGTTTCCAAATTATGACCTAACAATGCATCTGTTCATTCCAAATTTCCAACATGTTCACTGAATACTGGTTTGTGTTTAGTCTATATTGACAATATTTTGATTTCAGCCCTATAATGGAAGGCAGTACAGAAGGAGGCAGCAGTGACGAGTCTACCAAATCACAAGCTAGTAGTTTAGCTTCTAGAAATTACAATCAAAGTCATACTCTACATACCAGTCATGGTTTATCACGCAATACCACACAGGGTCTTCCTAGCATTACAGAACATTCTACTTCCAGCGTGGCTCCTCTACACTTCCGTCTGGATGATCATGACATGGAGACTCCATTATCCCAGACTGCTTCTAAAACACAGGATTCGAATCATTTGTTGAAGCGAAACGGAGCTCAACCAGTGTTAGATTTAGAGAAAATGCAAACAGACGTTTTTGAGGATGAAGCCCCACCCCCACCAGAAATGGAAGACGCTACAGACCAACATGTGATCGATATATCGTGTTATGTTCATCCAGATAATGACGATAAAACAGAAGCGTTGTTATTGACGTCTGTGAAAGACCCGTTCGACCCGAACACTATACGAGACATATTAAGTAACTTGATACCACCATTAAAATCTGATCCTAGCTATATTGACTGTAGTATGTTACCAGTACCAGACATGAAAAGCAACAATTATGTAGATTTCGGTTAGTACCATAGTTTTTTTATAGGAGAGAAAGTGATATTTTTTAACTAAGTTTTAAGCAAAAAAAAGTAGAATGTTTGAAGAAGAGTTCTTGCTCTATTAATCAAAAACACATTGCATCAATTTAGTCTGTAGTCAACTTTGTGCAATTACTAATCATTGATAATGGCTACTATTTACATCAATCCAATTTACCGTCAGATGTCTGTGGCTCCTGTAATTATGTAAATACTCTACTGTTTATGATGTCAGTGACATTGTCACTTTTGCAAACCCTTCTTAATAAGCAGCTTTTGTGAAAGTGACGTCATATAATACTTAGTTTTAGTGGAATAGCTGATTGAAAATGGAATGGTGCAAATCGATGTTATCAATGTCCCCAATACACATAAATATTTTAGAAAATGCTTTACATCTTAAGTTACAAGAACAAGGACTGCTTTATCATTTCTTTGTCAAGGAATCAAGATATATGAATGAGCTGTTTTTTACCTGGTCTATTTTATTTTACAGGAGGAGAAACGTATCAAGTGGTTTCTAAAATAGCCGAAGGTGGCTACGCTAAAATCTATAAAGGGTTATACATGGATGAAGATTTTCTTGAAAGTGAAAACACGATGGGTCCGTCAACAAACGTTGTTTTAAAAGTGAGTTTAGAAATTTGTACGTTATCATTTCTTTCCTGTGGGTTGGAACAGAAATTGAAACAGTGTCTTTTAAAAAGACTGTCAGAAGTGAGGTCTTATATGCTACAGATTGTTAACGTTTAAACACCTTTCATTCAAGAATGAAAAAGGGAAAATTATTCAGTTTTCCTGCAGCAATGTTGAAAATAGAATGTAAAACTCTAGTTTTGTTTTGTTTCTAGGTGCAGAAACCGAGTTGTTTATGGGAGTTTTATATCTGTAAAGAAATAGAGAAGAGAATGAAAAAATTAAATGATCCTTTGAATGTTGTAAGTTTATTCAAGATTGTGCGATACAGTAATTTTACCCTGATTCCCTATGATATACTGAGAATATTGGACAGTTTGTGGACTTGTGTCTCCGAAAATAAGATAGTGTTTCTGTCTCAGTGCTGTTATCTATTTAATATAACTATCAGTGACTTCGTTTTCAATTTTATGCAGAGACAATTAGATATAAATTTCAAAATTAATTTTTTTACTGATAAATTTATATTTCAGACTGATTCAATACTAACAGTAAAAAAAGGTTATTTTTTCCATAATGGTAGCTGTTTAGTACAAGATTACTATCCACAGGGAACTTTATTGGTAAGACTACGAATATACTTGTTTCTCTTGTAAATGGCATCATCTTTAATCTGGCTTCAAATAGCTGAAAGGGACTGTTGTCAGGATTTTACAATAAACCAACGCAATGTGTGTTACAGGCTGTGAATTGTGTAAGATCAGCTTTCAAAATCACTATTAATTCCTTTGGCATATACATTTTATGGTATTTATTTCAGAATCTCGTGAATACTCTAAAGTTATCCCCGTCGTTATCAATGGCTGACCTGGAACCGTTTGTGACCTATATAACTATAGAGTTATTACATATGATACATAACTTACATCAGTGTCAGATTATACACGGTGATATTAAACCTGATAACTTTCTCCTACAGAATATGTAAGTACATCTCTCACTATTATTATCCTCAGTCTGATCTCCTGTCCTACCCCTTCAGAATATGTAAGTAGATTTCACTATTATCCTACCCCACTGAGTGTACCATCCTCTCCTGATACATTAATACATTAATACCAGATAATAAATAGTAATATTAAACACGTACACTTTCTACTTCAAAATTTCAGAAAAGTAGGACGTAAAACTCCATTCATTTCTACTTCAAAATATGTCAGTAAATCACACACACACACACACCACGTCCCCCACAATCCCTACACAACAATGTCAGAACATTCATTTGGATGAATTCCATTGCCTAATATAATATGACTCGTTAAAACAAATATGGCCAGAAGGTCAAATCAAAAATGTGAGTTGCCTTGGAAGCTATGTATAATGAGATAATCAGTTGATATAAATATTAATGATTTTAGCAGGTGGAATATCAGTACTTACCATAATAAAAATCTTATAAAACAAAGAAAGATACGTTTCTATTTTTTCAGCCCTAACATCACAGTTTCTCATGATAAATTAAAAGTGTTTGATAAATACACCAAGGTATTAAAGTTAATAGATTACGGCCAGGCTATTGATATGACCCAGTTTCCTAAAGGAACAGTATTTCTAGCTAAAGTTGATACTGATGGTTTTAAATGTATTGAAATGAGAACAGATCAGCCATGGACATACCAGGTAAGATGGCCTCTCAATTTATTTTGGTTTCTTGGAGTATTTTATCTCATGAATCTAACACTTCCCTATAAAATGAAATAAAAATGAGTTATATATACCTTTTTTCTGTACCAGTTTGGTCTGATACTCAAAGAGATGTTCATTTCCAAACAGTTTGAAATGAGAGAATTTTGCAAGAATAGTGGTTCTAGACTACTATTTTTCATTTCCATCTGTCAATGGTTCTTTTACATGTAGATCGTGTAGCACACGAGCTCAGTCCAGCTTATCAACTAGATTCTTTACCACTGTTAGCAGAGAACTTCGAAATATTCAAAGGTATCTGACATTGGACCTCCACATAAGCAAGCAAGTGTCTAAAATATTGAATAAGAATAACTTTAAACCACTAAAATAAATGGATATACTATGTATATTATTGTATTTACAGACTGATCTATTTGGTGTAATTGGTACAATACATGTGTTAATATTTGGTAAATATATGAACGTCTATCAGAGTAAAGGAAAATGGCATGCTGCTAGTTCTATACACAGGTAAGTTAATATAATAACCATTAGGTCTTCAAGGATTCTGTCTACCAACTTTCCTTATCACTGACTTTACAAGGATAACATCTTAGGATCTGGAGGATTCTGTTTACCAGCTGGTCCTTGCCCAAACCGCTTGGTATCAAACTTTCCTGTATTATCTGTCCTGATTTACATCAGGTTGACTGGAATAATGACTGATTCACTTTCACCGGGCTTTCCTACACTGTCTGAGATTAGAACCCGGTACCACAGTTTGCCTTCTGTTTCATTGAAAATGATTCAAGTGAGTCATGATCCAATGCTCTGACCTAATGAGCTACAATTTGTTCTAAGCTATGGTGGATGAGATTGTTCTTGATCATTCTTCAGTCATTAATTTAATAGTTGTCTTATCGTTTGCTTTACTCTTAGCTGAACGAGCTCAAAATTAGCTTTTTCATCATGAAAAAAAAGTGAAGGTCATATAAAAGTCCATGCCAAAAAATTAATCATGTTTCAAAACTTTTTGTATTTGCTGTTTTCAGAAAATGGAATCAGAGGCTGTGGAAAGAATTATTTGATACGCTGTTAAATATACCAAACTGTGAAGAGTTACCTAACTTGTCTGCACTACGACTCAAGTTTGAGGACTATTTTATGCGTGATCTAGTTTCTAAATATAATCAAGTAGCTGACTCGATTCGTACAGAAATGTTGTTAAAATCTTAGTCTTTTTTAAGGTTGGGCGACAGTTTGCTTTACAAGGTTTTCTATTCATCACTTACTAAAAAAGGAAAATCCGAGTAAACAGTGTGAGGTTGGTCCTTAGAATAAGAAAGTTTTGATATGAATAAGTCGGCACTCTGAGATTTACATTTACAGAGAGAAATCTTCAGCCAAAATTTTGTTAACTTTCTGGGAGAGTAGTGTTTATATTTTTATCAACGTAAAATCATTTTAAGGTTTTTTGAAGCTGATATTCATATTTAATTTACCTACCAATGTTGGAAGATATTAGCATGTGTATAGATGTATATAAGTTTGCTATTTAACTGAATTATTAGATGTAGCCATTGTCCTTCAAAAACCATTTTGAAACAAAAAAGTGAACAGCCATTTTTGCCTAGGTTTAATTTGAATATGAATGAATTATGTATCCATATTTCCTGGGTTTTTATTAATTGTCATTCTACCTATTTCTTTATTTTCTTCTTCTCCTCTTTCTACATGTATATTATCATGTTCTTTGACTGTTATACGGGCGCTTGATTGTTGAGTTCTGCACATTCTTGTTACATGGAATCAACAGCAAGTTCAATTAAACAAGTTTGAACAGATTTCGAATGCGCTCCAGTAGGTGTAAACAAATTAAAATTGTGGAGAGAGAAATAGACGGGTAAATTTTATCCACTTCCATACTGTTCCATAGAAGACAGATGGCAGACTACAATCTCCAGCCCTGGCATTTTGTGACATGGTGTTTATCAGGTTAGGTCAAAAGGTTCAAGAGGGCTGTCATTAGACCCTAACTGAAGTAATTGAAAAAAAAGATGGAATGAAAGATTGGTCTAATTTTAATTAGACTGTACAGAACTCACCAATCAAGTGGAAACCATAAACTGTTACCTTTTAACTGTAAGTCTGTGTATTGTTAATATATTCTCCTTCATCAAGGTCAGTAATGTGAATAAAGAAATTTAATTGTTAAAGTGTATAAGTTTATTTTCAAAGAAAGAATTAGTTGATGGTTTTGAGAATTGAAAAGAAACATTCATACATTCAACAAACATAACAGTTAACTAAAATCACCAGGATTTTTTCCATCGGACTAAAATGCAAATACAGTGGTATAGTTTGTTCTGAATCACTCAATTGTGAACCTTTTATCTGCAATGCTTTGGACATCACCACTGTTCAAAAACCAATTTAAAAAGACACTTTCCATTTCTCAAACAAATAAAATAGTTGGAATTTTACCAGAAAAATGGACATGTTACACACAAACCGATTTTTTGTTTATAACAAGGTTTTGGTGGAGAGATCGGCAATGATGTCATCGAGGTGGTTGGCGAATCACATGATCCACAACTGTTAGAGTGGTTTCTCCTACCAATTGTCCTACTCGTGTCATGCATGTGTTCTATTTTTAAAATATCACATCTAGGCTGATCTTTCCTATTACAGAATTAGACAAATATTGAAACAGTGCAAGAAAGAACAATCTTTTAAAATACAACTAAATCTTAAAATAACAATGTAACACATAAAAAGATAAAAGAAACAATTAGGACGGCAATGTACAAGCACCATAAAAAATTGATTTCTTGGGCCAATCTCACTTAAATATAACTCAGTTTTTAAGTTTTTGTGAGATTGGCCCACGGACGGATACATTAACTATAGTTACAACTTGTAACACAAATATTATCTATTTCAACAGATCAAAATCTCATTAAAGGTACCCTCACACCATAGTGATTATCAGTTGTGTATGGTTGTGAATAATAAAAGTGACCATGAGTTCTTGAGGCATCTCACAACTCAGTTACATGAGAGTTGCATTCGAAACTTTTGACGTGCTATTTTTATTCACAACCCTACATAACTGGTAATGATTATAGTGTGAGGGTACCTGAAGATATTCACGAAAATATTGGGATTTCAAAAATTTACCCTGATATTAAAATATGTGACCAGTTATATTCCACTTTTCCAAAAATGTATTTTAAAAACAATAACATTTCTTCATAAACATATTCTTCTTCTTCAGAAAAAAATTTGAGATTTTTTAAAAGTTTATAAAACAAGATCAACTAAAGCTAAAGGGATACTGTGATCTATTTATTTGCTTTACAAGTTGATAGAACTCTATTTCAGCTGTCTATATTTACCAATTTAAAACTAACATCACTTCAAGGGAGTTATTGAAATGTGCCTGAGATTTTAATTCTGCTAATAATGGATAACAGAACTATATTTTACAAGGATAACAACTTAAGTTCACGGTTAAAGATCCTTTCTACCAGCTGGTCTTTGGCCAAACCTCTTGGCATTGATCTTTCTCGGATCATCCGTACCAATTTACAACTGGGTCGACTGGAATTATGAGTGAGGATGACTTACTCAAGGTCATTGGACTTTCACACGACGATTGAAATTGGAACCCATAGTCGCCATTAATTCGACTTAACCAAGCAAATGACGTTGATGTAAAGAACCAACACTCTCACCGACTGTGCTAAAGGACTAGCTGAAGTTGAGTTCTATCAGCTTGGAAAGGAAATTCTTAAATGACTACGTCCCTTTAAATGTTAAGCAATAAAATATCTTTTTCATGCAAAACATTACAAATTCATTAACAAATAACAAATAAAAAAACTAAGTTAAATTTCTAATATATATAGGTCTATTTATAGTAATAATATCACTTTATTAAAACTTCATTTCATGCAAAATATAATACAACTATATTCATTGGCTGCTCTAAGCTTGATTTCCATTGGTTACCAGAACATAGTAGCACAAAACCTTGTTTCATTCAAAAGAACACAAAATAATCACTATAATAAAAGCAACTAGGTTTTGATTGTCGAAGACTAGAGCTAAGCACCCTGTTTCTCAAAATTCATACCACTAAACTTACACGTTAAGTGAAAAAAAACGCTGTTTTTGACGTTATTAAATCTTCAATTGTGCTCGTTTGTTAATCTACAATATTTTGAGAAATGGGGTCAAGGTTGTTTAATCTCTCAGAGATTACGAGGTGATGAACACGGAACAAGCAATGATGGTACAAGCCTCTCAAAACTTGTTGATACAATTAGGGAGCAGACTGATATAATATAAAATATAGTGGCTCTGTATAGCGCATAGGCATTAGCCTCCTCTGGAACACCTGAAAGGCTTTTTCAATAGAATTGAATTGGTGCATTGACACAAATTTGGGAGAAAAATGCGTAAAAAATCCAATTATTAAATGGACTAGAAACTAAGAGACAGTAAGTTTGGCACGTTACTAACAACTAAAATAAAATAAGGGACAAGTTGGACCAATAGAAACCAAGCCCATCTTGTCAGCCTGTGTAAAAATTCCACTATACAGCCAATCTGTATCCTCATTAGATATTACACAATGTTGGGTTTTTGACTTGTATGACCTAATTCAAGTATGGGGCCACGTTTTTTCAAAAATACTATGATAAAATTTATGTATGTGTAATCGTTCACATGAGAAAAATTTCTAGTTTCATGGGAATTGATAAAAAATTTCAGAAATGGAGCTCAAATCTTGGTTTTACAAAATTTTTCATTCAAATTCTGATCTCAAGTGAAAAAAAAAGAGTCCAAGAAGTTAAGATTTGGACTAATAATAAAATTTCATCTTAATTTCAGAATCAGGACCAGGTAAGAAAGTTCCATCAGCCACCTGTCACTCAGTATAAAACCCAACATGTCTTAAATATCATAATATATTTCTTCTATGGCAGAAATTTTGTATATTTTGAACAAAAACTACATCCATGGGTCAAAAAAAGAATCTGAGTACTAGCCATTCATCAAGATGAAATTGAATGCCATTGTCAAAATAGAGAGAACAATTATACAGTGGATCAAAAAGACACATCAATTTTATTTTTGAAAAATGTGGATCTCTCATGCCATCGTCTTTTCGCAATGATACAGTTTTTGAAATGTTAGGTCAAATTTTCAAAATGATCTCAGACAAAATTTCTGCCATAAAACACAAGAACTACGAGTGGACCATAATTAAAATAACACAAACAGGTTGATCACATGATCACATGATATTAAAAAGTTGAAGACAATTAACCGGGTTGACAATAATCAAAATATTTACTGTGAAATCATTTCAAATTCTGTGAATAAGTGTGAGAAAAAAAATGAGTCCTTATTGTATTTCCAGAGTATTTGTGTTCAAATTTGTTTCCATAGATTCACTGTTTGAAGGAATCCCCCCAAAATTGATCCTGAAGATAGACTCCAAATTGAACATCTTACTTCGCTATAACATATAACTAGGCCTACATAAAGGTATTTTGACACTATAGTGATTACCAGTGTGTCTGGTTGTGAATATTGAAAGTGACCATGAGTTCCGAATGCAACTCACCAATTAGTTACATGAGAATCATGTTCAAAAATTAAACAAGCTATTCTTATTCACAACCCTACTCAACGAGTGATCACAATGGTGTGAGGGCCCCTTTACAAACTACATGACAAAGTGATGCTTTACACTGCAAATATCTCATAAATATTCATGTCACTCATTTCTATTCACGTCACTCATTAATATTCATGTCACTCATTAATATTCATGTATCATGTCACTCATTAATATTCATGTATCATGTCACTCATTAATATTCATATAATGATAATGATTTCACAGTAAATGAAAATATCACAAAAACAACAGTTTAATTTATATACAGTGTAGTATATTTTGATACAAAAATGACAGCCAGACCACTTCTCTAAAAGACTTGCTTTATTTTCACTGAGAAAAGCTCTCGTTGAATATTTTCAAAACGGCAGCCTGCATGTTTCAAGTGAATGAGACACAATAAGATCTCATCTCTTAGAAGCTTGTCAAAACAATAAAACATCATATACCCTGAACTTTCAAAGGCATGACATTATGTTACACACAGTTATTTTACTAGTAGTCCAAAACCACTGCTACTGTCATCTTAAAGTTATAATCATACATGACTGGCTAAAACATCTGAATCAACAGCCCTGCATCTGAGCGTTTAAATTATGGAAAAAAAAATTCAACATTACTTTCAAATTGAAAAGATACAAAATATAGAAAATATCAAAAAAACATTTTAACATCAAAACTTGACAACAATAGGACGGAAAGACAAAAATATTCTTAAAAATTCAAACTAAAAATAAACTTTGTATAGCACTGTCGGCTTTAGTTATCACATTTCAATATGTACTAATAATACAAAACAACATTTTAATATCATTAACATTTCTTCCACAGACATTAAAATATATGTTAGGACAAATGCCTTTAAGATTTTCAGTTAAAAGAGGGTGAAATAATTCAAATTGTTAATTCAAATTGTTAATTTAAATTGTTTGGAATATGATTTATTTTTTCCGCTCATTTCAAGAATCAAAGCATATAACAGAAAATCTTTTACGCATGCTTATATCGTATAATTTCCAAAATATCACGATATATGGAAAAATTCATTCCACTGCAATTACTGCAAACAATGCAAGCGTAAGTTATTTCTTGTAACAAAGTCAATATCTACCTTGTAGACCTACAGTAATAATAACCCTCAAGAAACTGGAATCTGTATCTATATACAAGTACAGTCAGTTATTGTCAAACTAAGATATTAGTGTATATATAGATCCAATTCAAAACATAAACACATCCTCTTTATTTTCAGCTAGGTTAAGGAGTAATGGACACAATCGAAGTCGGTACGCACATTTATATGTTCCTCCACACGAAAATCTTGAGAAAAGACAAAAGATTTACTTTGAAAATGGGGAGAAACCAGAGTAACTGAATAATATAGGCTTTGGCTTGTTTCTGTAACCATTGTTTATCTATGTAAATGTATAATTAATATACTTCCTCATACAAATAGTTCAATTACTGCTACCAATGCATTGCCAAACTGTTATTTTGGATTTCGAGTGTGTGTTTTTTATTGAAAATCATGAATAATATAAATATTGTTAAAATATTAGTCTGACTTGCATAGTCTTAATTACTAAGTATTCTACTCAAATATAAAATGGACGCCTTGTGTTATGTTTTGAATCGTATCCAAATGAGTACAAATATCTTTGCTCCACTGTACAACAATGTATTTTAATAAACAAACATATAACAAGGTGAGACTAAAATTATAATTAGGTCCACTGTCATGTAGCTCGGAGATTTTTGTCATGTGATGAGATTCGCGAGTTTTGAGCTATTCTGTAGCTATATATAAGATAAGGCTACCTTAATCACCCCATTGTCACATTTACTTGTTAATAGTCCAGCAAAAAGCACCCCAGGAGTGCCCCAGATAAAAACCAGATTCTTAAAATGAACTCTTCTAAAATTACTTAACACTGTATCAGGTACATTGAAACAATGAATGTGCAGGAGAGTTCATTAAATAATTAAGGGGTTCCCATTGAAAATATTCTTAAAATTCTTAAAAATATTAACCAAAGTCTTAAGTAGTATATAGCCTTCTATAATAGAAGCGGGCAGTGTTTCTCAAAATATCTGACTTCCAAATTTCCCACCAAATTTGAGAATAACCATGTAAAAATCTTTACTCTTACAACAGAAATAACCATTATCCATTTGAGATTTGATTGGATCTACGGCAGTCCACTACCAGCTCCCTCTACCAGCGTCCACTAAGGCTAGGAAAGTCTGAGCGTGATCGTTGTATCATGTTATTTTGATCCGAAGAATCAGCAGTCGTATAGGGGGTACTGGATGAATTACTGGGGATATTTACATTACGTAATGTCTTTCTTTTATTCATATCTAAAAATAAAACAGACATTTTAAAATATCAGCCGGGAGAGTGCTTAGATACATATTTATGTACTATGGAGCCAAATAAGGCTTGGTCACCCTTTTGGAATACTTTCTGACAGCAGTAAAAACGTTCATTCCCAGCATCCCCTTCCCCCTTTTTCACCAAAATCAAACACAATTTAAAAAACGGAGCGTAGAGACTATGAGCTTCTTTTTTTTTTAAAATATCAAACATACCTGCAATAGCTAATAACATTTTTCTTCTGGCTCCAAATGTAGAAATACCCAGCTCGCGTAAATCCTGATCAGTGAGCGTCGTAAATGTAGATATATCAATCTGAAATAGAGTAAAAATAAAGCTAATCAGAACATCATATTATATGTTGATACTGTATGTCGCATTAAGTGGGATATAAACTGAAGTTCGCTGGTATTCCCAAGTTGGCAGCATGGGGCCAAGTTTCTTAAAGGTATCCTACACGATTTCAGAAATCCAGCTATCCCAACTCAATCGGGTAGCTGGAAAACTAAGTTACATTTTCTAAAACTGGTCCTGAAATCACTTTGAGAGAGTCCACACTCCAAATACTTAATTTTATTTGACCTACCTCTTGTTGTGAGAACAGGTCTGTATATTTTCCCAGACCCATGGTAGTGAATAGTTCAGCCAGGTCGGTTTTATGTGACCAATTTTTACACGGTAAGATAGCACTGTCTACATGATTACTGTTACTTAAACCAAACTCATCTAAAATACAGATAAATATTCTAAATATTATAACATCTAAAATACAGAAATATATTCTAAATATAACATCTAAAATACATAAAAATATTCTAATTAAACATATAACTAATAATATCAGCATGATTACATAGACCGAACTCATCTAAAATACAGAAATATATTCGAAAATATTACAACATCTAAAATACAGAAATATATTCGAAAATATTATAACATCTAAAATACATACAGACATAAAAAATCATATCAGCATGCAATTTTTAGTAACTTTATAGAAATAAATAGTCAACTCAGCAGTAAATAGGTACACTACATACAGTCAAATAGGTAAGAAAACCATCGGAAATTTGAGCTGCCATGCCAGTGAGCCAAATAAACAGCCCTGGTTTTGATTGTTATAAAAACATCAAGACCCTGTGATTGGGGGTACAAAGAGTCCAAAAGTTTTGAGAACCCTGGCTTTAAAGGGTGATTTACTTACATTTCTTTCTGGGACTAGGATATTCACCAGGAGCTTTGTTTAAAGGAGCATTAACTGGTACGATTTGATCTCTCCATGGATCTCGGTCTAAATCTATTCCTTCTGATATATCATTGCCTGGTGACTGAAAAAACACATCAGAATAACAAATCAAATCAATGAAAATGTATTTTAATCCAGACATAAATCAATAACAGTCATTGCTGTTTAAAATCAATATTAAATAGAATTTATATAAAAATAATATCAGAGATTGAAGCCATCTAATGTGTCAAATAATGAAATTTTTGTCAACACTCAATGAGACCTTAAAGGATCTTTCTTGTAATAAGTGACACTGTCGTGAAAGGACCGAAATACAGAATGGCTTTTGGAAATTTGAAAAATATCCACTCCATAACTAAGTCTGTAAGCTTATCATGCCTTTCATAAAATCTTCATAGACAATAATGTACATATTGGTATCTAATATTGCCAACTCGACATCTTGTTAAGAGCATCCACTCAGATAAAAACGTGAAAACATTAGAATTCTCATTAAAAACCTACCTGAAATGCGGCCATTGTAGAGTCACATTTAGAAGAAATACCAATTTGTCCCATTCTCTCTCTGATAGCTGATTCTGGCATAGATTTAGAGAATCCCATTCCAGACCAGGCGTCAGTAGGGTGTCTTGATTCACCCTCAGGTTTCTTTCTTATAGCTACAAATAAACAAGAAACATGATAAGTTAAACACTGCTGATGAGCTGAAAGCAGATTTAATCACCAACTATCATTATAATTACCATGTGTGCCTTTGAAATTACTTTAGGGACTTTTAATTTGGAAATCTACAAAGAATGCCACTTATATTTTAAATGAGCTAATCTACACATAAAACACAAGCCGTCCTGATGAGGATTTTATATCTGAAATACATATTGATAGCACGGTTGTGCTCTTATCCATTACAGTTTGAATAAAAGGATAATGAAGGTGTATGTACCTTTTAAAGCCATCAATTTCTTCTCCTCATAGTCAAACGGTGAAGAATAAGCCATGGCTGAATAAATAGACGACATGGAACTCTTTCTTTCAATACCAGGAGCTAGTATATCTGAGCTATTAGAATTAGTAAGTGACACATCTGACTGGTCTCCATTTCTATAAAATAATAACAATTAAAAGTTAAAAATACACTATATGTAAATTTGCATGAAAAACGTTAATATACACTCCAATTCTAAGGCAACATTTTTCAAAATTACTAGTTTTCTGGAATTTCACAATCTGATAAATGCAAATCTTGGTGTTTTAATTTGTGTTTTCTGACATTACAGAGATAGAAAAGAGGTTTTCTAAATTTGTTATGTGTATCAGGGACATTGATAGCATCAATTTGCACCATTACAATTTTCAATCAGACGTCAGCTGTTCCTGCAATTCCACTAATACTAAGTGTTTTATGACATTACCACTGCAAAATTTGCCTGTATCACATAAGGCACTTCTTGATTAGTGACGTCATAAAACACTTAGTTTTAGTAGAATGGCTTGAACCACAGAATTGGAATGGTGCAACTTGATGCTATCAGTGTCCCTGATACACATACAAAATTAGGAAAAACTCTTTACATTCTCTTTAAATCGTATTACGTGGAATCGTTTATATAATATATTTATTATGAAGACTAAGGTAACTTACCCAATATGTCTGTCAAGAAACATTGACTGTGATTTGGTTAAAGGTGGAAGGGCAGTAGTTTTACTCAATCCCAACAGATCTAATGTATGCCCACTGCTAGATAAGGGGGTATCTCTCTTTAATATACCACCAATGGCACTGCTGGCTGTCTGTATCCCTGATAAATCTATAACATCAGAATCAAATGTTGAAATGGACTTTTTACAATTTAATGTTTCGCTTCAATAAAAGTTGTATATCCTACTGTTCTACACTTTTTCAATTTCAAAGTAATAAGAGACCATAACAAATTGTCCCACATGAGCTATTGGAAACGCATTAAGGCCTACATGTTCTCCCTTTTACTTGTATCACTACTAGGTAATTTTGAAGGTACTATCTTGAGCTATGATTTAAATGAATCTTTAATCTATCAATAAATCTTATTGAAACAATTAAACACTAACATTAACCCATTACAGAAAAAGATAAAACTAACTTACCTGGATGACAGGGGCTACCTAGATTGATAGGACTAGAGCTGGACGTCGGAGTCTGATGAGGAGAATTCGTTGAATCACTATTATTACAACTTGATGCTAAAATAAAAAGCAAAATCAATAACAATTGCAGGACTAAGATGTGTTCAGGGAAGAAAATCACCCCTCATCGTACAGGCATAATCAGCAATATTAAGACAAAGGTAAAGGTCACAGCTCTTCAAAGTAGAAAACAAAAAAGGTTACAGTTCATCTGTTGCTACCCAAGTTGTCCCCAATGAGACACAACAATATTAATATTGATCAAACATGGCACAGCTCAGTTTCGTAAGGTTTAGGTTTTGTTCTGTAACCTCCTTCAACACATTTATATTCAGCAATATTATGATGAAGTTCAAATTTAGAGCTCTTCAAAATAAAAAAAAAAAAAGGTTACATTTCATTTTCATGACCTGTTGCTACCCAAGTTAACAGACTAAACTGGTTGGAGGTATTGTTTTACCTCTTACCTTGGTTAAAACAAGAAGTCTGTTGCTGTTGAATATTTTGATGTTGATGAATATTTTGATGCTGTTGATGTTGATGTTGTGGTATGACTGAAATAAAGTCGCTGGACGGAGGGTAATCATTCTGGTAGCCGTTGACTGCGGCCAGATTGTTGGTGGACGGGATGACGCTGGCTGGACATTGAGACATGATGTTTAATGGTGTAGATTGGAGGGCAGCGGAACAGGACGTCACTGGAGCGACCACCATCAGTGGACTGTACACATCTGAAAAGAAACAGGAATATATAGGATTAAGAGATGGCTAACACGAGAAACAACTTGTTGTGGCATCTGAATTTTTCTTAACCTGAGGGGGATTGGAACCCACTTCAACTCATGGCCTAGCAGACGACTACCTACTGACTGATTTATTCCATTGATAGGCATTGAAAGGAGAACAAATTATATGTACTCAATGTGAGAGACAACAAATCAGCACATCCAAACTGCCATCCACAAGCCTGAGGTCCAAAAGATCACAAAATTCATAGGATTGAAGAAATTCCAATGAACTGCTATTGCCAAGCAGAACTACGCATTATCAAATCAAAATCCATACAAGCAAGACAGTTCCATTAGTCAAAATCTCATCCAAAGTATGACAAAATCAAGAGTAGAAGTTGTGTAGTAGTGGACTCCTCCAAATAGAAGTACCATCAGGTGTTTCAAAAAGATTAAGCATGGCCTACTTCGTGTGATACACCTGCCATTACCACAATGGTAAAAATCATGAGATACAACCGGATTAATTCATTCAAAGGGATCTTTAAAATGCCTGTAGTCTGAAGGGCCCCAGTTTTACAGGTTAACTAGCAGCTACCTGAGCCCCAGCTGACATAAAACAGTAAAAGAAACATAAAGAGTACATACTATGTGTATTTTGTATCCAATGATTAGGACTGGTAGGGGAGGGGAGATTGTGTGGACTGGACGGACTACGATGACCGTTCAACATCAGCAGCGAATTACACGTTGAATTGGTATTGACGTTTAATATACTCTGACCAATATATCCTGAAATACATTAATATAAACGGTATTATTTCAAGATACAAGGGCAACAATACAATATATAATCTGTGAGGGAAAATCTGTAGTATATTTTATAAAACAATGATGGTATCATTGTGTATGACATTCACGTAGGTATCTGTTCAAGTTTCTAGCAGATTTCTTAAAATTTGTGGAATAAAACTGCTAAAAATATTTCATTTACTTGTCTCCTAACAACAAAAACTCAAAGGTTCTGAAGTCCAAAACTCATAATTTCTCAAGCTTTAAGCAATTCTTGAAAATTGTTTGATGTTTTTTATTACTTTTATTTTTTACTGTTATATTATGGTAAATTTAAATTTATTTTAAAAGTTATAAAATTTTCCCCAACTATAATGTTTAGAATTGAAGTAATAATATTTTATTTTTTTTACTGTTATATTATGGTGAATTCAATGTTATTCTAAAGGTTGGAAGACAAATTACAAAATTTTCCCCTACTTTAACATTCAGAATAAAGTAATAATATTTTCTCTTTTTACTGTTATATTGTGGTGAATTCAATGTTATTCTAAAGGTTGGAAGACAAATTACAAAATTTTCCCCTACTTTAACATTCAGAATAAAGTAATAATATTTTCTCTTTTTACTGTTATATTATGGTGAATTCAATGTTATTCTAAAGGTTGGAAGACAAATTACAAAATTTTCCCCTACTTTAACATTCAGAATAAAGTAATAATATTTTCTCTTTTTACTGTTATATTATGGTGAATTCAATGTTATTTTAAAAGTTGGAAGACAACTGATTACAAATTTTTGCCCTAAGATAATGTTTAGAATTGAAGTAATAATACTTCCCTACATTTTCTCTGCTGTAATATTATAGTTCAGAATTCAAGAAGTGTAAAACATAATTGCTAAATATAATTTATTTGACATGACTCGACATTCCTTTACGACAAAAACTGACATTCTATGAACTCATTTTGTCTAGTTAACAAGATTATTTCACACAAAAATTCAAAATGTTACGAAAAAAAACTTCTGTGTAATTTGCGTCTTTAAGTTCTCATTAAAAAAAGTTAGAATTAAAAGGTTGGTGCCCGTGCCAATACAAACAGCATGAGTACCGCCTGCTACAAATTACCTTGGCAACCATTCCTGTTATGTCATTTTATTCATCCCACTCATTAAGTAAGACTGTCTGCAATCATAGGATCAAAATTTCTTCGGGGTTCAGGTCTACAGCTCCCTTCCCTTCCTACCATTCAGCCCCACCCTCCTCCCTAGAACAGCTCTCTCCATTAAATTGCCTTAGCAACCATTCCTGACATGTCATTTTATTCCTCCCTCTCAGAAATTTCTGTCTGCAATCATATGATCAAAATTTTTCATAACTGGTTTAGGGCATCTTGAGTTCCCCCATCCATAAAATTCCAACCCCACCCCCTCCCTTCCCAAGAACAGCTCTCTCCACCACCGTACAGGGATTCTGATATATATATATGACCCCTGGTAAGTTCAACTCATGATTGCTCTGATTCCCTTGACCAAGTTTGAAACTGTTAAAAGATAGTATAACTTTAATATTGACTGTCTTCTTAGTTTTATGGATTTACCAGGTAATAATAACAGTTTTGCAACTTGTCTTTTGCAAGAATCTTTACTTTTTGACCTAGGCCAGTGCTTTTATAAGACTATGTTCTCCTCACCAAGTATACTCTTATTGGCCTCGTTTGAGAAATCAAATTTCATGTTTATTCTAAGAGGTAGTATCTCTTTAAACGAACACCAGGTGTATAATAATCAGTATAAAATAACAATGACGTTAATTTGAAGATTTGAAGATTTAAACTTTAGTTTATAAAAGCTGGGAAGTAATTTAAAAAGATAACTCTTTCTGTATTTACGTCACATCCTTACAAAAAAATCGATAATAAATTTTAATTTTATGGGAAAACGTTTGAAATTTAACGATAGTGAAAGAAACTGCTTTTGTCTGTCAAATTCTACAATAAAATCAAAAAAAAAATTTTGAATTTTTTAGAAAATAAATCATTGCATTGAAAATAAAGGACTTACATCATTTCATTTTATCTTCAGAGGCAGATAAAATCCTACTTTAGTCTCAGAAATGGGAATTGTTTAGCTTAACTAATCAGTAATAGTGTTCGAAGTTTACCATTGAAATTTGAGCCTTCAAATCCATCTGTGTCCAGAATTATCTGCATTTGAAAGTTAAAAAGACGACTTGTCTTTTTTTGAGACTGCCATATAGAGGAGACATATATAGAAATAGTGCAATAAGTAGAATTTCTAGTTTGAGGTATTTTTGAAGGAATTGTGATTTTCATTAAGTTTTTTAAATTTTACATTTATATTTACATATAATCAAGACACAAATCAACGATCAAAAATGGCAAACTATGGTCTTTAAATTGATCCTAAATCAAAAACAGTTTTCCCCTATAGAGTCTTGATGCATTTGTCTAGTGTAAGGGAGAATTTATTTTATATTAATCCAGACATACAATTGTAAATCTTTCTCAAGATATTTCATAAACTTTATATTAAATATGATCTCCTTTATACAGCCTCTATGATAATACGTGTTTACTTTAACATTGTTTCTACAAGGGAATCTTTCAATGTATCAACACTATGTATTTTTATATACACATTTATCATACACCAATAGGCCTATGATTACTAGTGGACAAGACTTTTCCTTAGGTTATTCTTTAGAATTCTTGAGCTCACGCAAAAATATATTATAGAATTTGGGTGGCACTATGATTTAATCACTGCGATTAAGCTTGCAAAGCAAGAAATGCTAATTCTTTCTATAACACCTATTGCCATTCAGCAACTGGGTTTGTGAGCTCAGCATCCCTTTCAGAGAGTTCACATAATTTATAATATTTATTTGGCAACTAGGTTTGTCAACTCATCATCAGTCCACATAGCTAGTAATGTTTTATATGGTACACTTATTACTACAAACTATTTTAGGCATTGGGAACCAATCGAGACATGGCGAATCAAGAACCAGATGAATCCTCTCATTTTACCAGCAGATTATCAGTATAAGTCTGATAATTATTACACAATTCTATTCTTTCTTATCATTTTAAGTACTCTAATAGATAAAGGATTCCACAATTTTAATGAGCTGTATAAAATATCAAGCAGACTATTTAAATGGTAGTAATTCACCAACAAACAGTGATAAATATTAGTAAACGCTGCCTGTTAATGTAACATCTTGTCTTATCACTTCAACTACTTCACTTTCAAGAATGGTAGACAGAAAATTACAGTTTACAAAAACTTTCGTCATCAATGCAGGTCGGGGTGAGAGGTCAAACAGTGTCATAAACATCATCATTAAAATTGGGTCAACTTAAAAAAAATTGGCCAACGTTGATTATTCTCCTAACGAAGAAAATTACATTTTCTCATCCAGATTAATTGAAAACCTGTCCAAGATATCCCCACCGTTACTTTGTTTACAGGGTCAAATGATGGTGCAAAGTTTTTATATTGCTTAACACATTACTGGTTTATATACAGAATGGCACCACAAATATATTGAATTTTTCATGAAGGATCTTGACAGTGTGTACTAAATTTTGGTAGTTTAGATCATAAATTGTTCATGTGACAACATCTTGCAAAGCGGAACAAGAGCTTGGTATCATTAATAAATGGGAAGAAAGCCAGTCTATGAGAAAAAACCCACAAACACACCAAAACAAGAAAATAAAACAGAATCAGCTGATCTAAAGTCGTCCTACTTGAAATCTTTTACAGGTCGTGCCGTTAACCGAACATTTTGGATTCCAGCCAAACAGTATGAATGCTTTTTCGACTTCATATCTGTTTCCCAGGTCTGCTTCCAGAAAAATGATAAAAATTATCTCTTTAATTCTGATAAATTGAAAAATTTAGATAGATTTTTGTTTTTTCTGTTACTTAATCTGCACAGGAAATTAAAATTTATCACAAACAAAACATCGTTAATAATCTTTAAATGATATTTAGAAGTAGACGTAATATTAGAAAATAAACACTATTATAGATATACTACTTCTTTCTTTATTTGAGCAACGTTTCAATTCACATACAGGAATCTTTATCAAGTATATATAATAATATATAGGAATCTTTATCAAGTATATATAATAATATATAGGAATCTTTATCAAGTATATATAATAAGTTATTAATATTGTTATTAATATCTAAAGATAAATGTCTAAACAGCTTTTATTTAATCAAATTTTAATGAAACGAATTTGAAATTTAAATATCTGCAGTTACACAATTTTGTTAAAGGAGCACCTTCACAATCCGTTCGCCCAATCATACCTTAGTTTCAAAACTAAGTATCCAAAATTATTCACGTTTGAAAGTTAAAATTTCGACTGGAATTTTAGTAAGATTAAGCCATATATAGAAAACACATATATATAAGAATAGACAGTGAAATTTCTAGTTTGAGGTATATTTGAAGGGATTATGTGGTTCTTAAGACTATTCAAGCACAATAAAGACCCAAATCAATCCCAGAAAATATTGACTGTTTCTCTTTAATATTATGCTTAATAAAACGCAATTATCAATTTCTGTTTGTTGAATTAACTTATTTTGACATTCTGATTTAATTTTCTGTCTACTTCTAGAGGGGTGTGATTCAGTTTTTCACAATTTCTTGTACATTTATTTAATGACTGACTAATTTTTTCTGATGTTTTTTTCAAAAGAATATAGAATATTATATGTTTCAAAAAAATTTCTTGCATATCATCATACAAATATTCCCAACAAATTGATAAATCATCAGTCTTAGCTAAATCTCATTCACAATACACCTTAATATTTATTTAATCTACAATATAACATAATATAAACTCAAGTTTCTGTACACCAAGATATCATCATTTACAAACCAAGATAACGTTGGTATTTTCTGATAAACGACATCCCTAATGGAGTGTATTTATTATTTTATTTACGTTAAAGTCCTGATACCATCGTATAAACTGCAGTCAGTTAAATATTGTATGTTTTTTATTTACTCTAATCAGCTGGGATTATATTAGACAGATTTTAAAATGGTGGTGTGAGAAGATTTTAAATTAGGAGCAAATGGAGTTAAAAAAGTAAAGATTTGTCCTGTATTGATAGTAAGATTTAGAAGCGGAAGTGGAAGAAAATGAGTGAGGAAAGTTCATAAAACAAAGACTACTTCACATATTACAATAAGATGAAAAAAATCAAGGATAATTTTAAAATGTTAACAAATCTTGATAATTCTGTATATAATTAAAAATAATTTTATAACAATTCTAGTTAATATGCAGCTGGCTTTATATCTTATTTTCATTCATTTCAAAGAATCTTAAAAACTCTTTAAACTCCCACTATTTCATCAATTGCAATTAAATTTTTGAAAATTTCACATGGAACTTCCCTTTAAAGACAAGAAAGTAGTAAATTTATAAAACATGCTCTCTTATCAATATTATATAAACAATATTTCTACATATATCTTAAATATATTTTTATTGATGTTTAATCTATATCTGATGAATGAGTAGAAAAATTAAAAAATACTGTTCATGCAGAATTTCACGTAATAGAAACAAACAGAATCATAAATTTACCATATTTCTAACCATTAGTTAATATTTATTAGATTTGCTGAAAGTTTATTATTTTTTGTTAACCACTAGAATAAGTACTGTAGTAGAATAAGTACTGTAGAAGAATAAGTACTGTAGTAGAATAAGTACTGTAGTGGTTGTAAATATGAGACAGGGCATGGTAACTCTTTCAGAGCACCTGTTAAAATATCTAAATATATTAGGAAGTGTAGGCATAAGACTCGACAGAAAGACTCAAATATTTCTTGTGCACGTAATATAAGGGGCTATGATTGGCCCTATTCGCTTGTGTACAATCCAATCAAATCACTGCATTTACAAATTTCTGATATACAATAATGGTGGCTATTGCAGTTAAGGTATTAGACATATTTCATAATAGTCTGACGTTGTGAATATCTGAGCCTTCAAATCCATGTGTGTCCAGAATGATTCTCATTTGAAAGTTAAAAAGACAAGTCTCTTTTCTTGATACACTGCCATATATAGACAAGACATATATAGAAAAAGGAAAAGAAATTCCTAGTTTGGGAAATTTTTGAAGGAATTGTGCGAATTTCAAAACAACCCCTCAAAATGGTGCATCTGTATCTTCAAATAAAGGTAACTTACCGAGAGTGTTTAACCCTAGACCAGCCGTCGTACAATTATTACTATACTGTATATCATCACGACTGTCAAACCCTAGTAGAAATAATCTGGCTAGATACATATTGGTAGCGTTCCTCTCTATACTCTTTACTATCACAGACTGAAATTTCAAAAATATAAGTCAAATTCAAATATAAATTGAACATTTTGATAAGACGTCAAATAACAGGAAATTTAATTCACAGGCAAATAAGGTCAACATTGGCACAGGTTTTTGCCAGTGGCTCAACTACAATTGGAACTGGTTGAAAAATGTCCATGCCCCCCACAACCAAGGGGCCCAACCCTCAGAGAAATTATGATGAAACTAAGCAACCAGTAATATATAAATGAGAGAAATAGCATTAACTACAGACTGGAAATCTTCTAATCTTCCATTAACAGGTATTACATTGACTTACAGATGGGTCTCAGATCATAGGTCAAAAAAAATCCCAGGGGGAGGGGCTCCAACTTATCCAGGCCACGAGCCCCCACTCATCTAGTTGAGCTACTTGTTTCTGTTATGAAGACCTTAAGCGTACTGCCAATTTTGAAATGATCGTTATTTTTAAATAATTCAGCATGAGGATTATAAGCTATTTTTGCAAAATGAACTCTCAAGAGACTCGATCAAATTTAATTTTAGTATTTTTTTGCATAGCTTGAGAGATTTTGAACATATTTCTCTACATTCAGTTCTAAGTTTCGTAAATTTGGAACTGGACCCCTAAAGAAGGAAAGTTAATCATACCTTGCTTGGTTGTTTTGGTTTTGGTTTAACACTGATATATACATCTAGTTTCTCCATCAGTTGAGATATCTGACCTAAAACAAACAGAATATATTCATCAACATTTGGTTGTTTTCTACTTTCTTCAAATTGTCATTGAATAGACCACAAGAAAGACCAAAAAGTAATTAATTTGTTACAAGGTTAACAACTTAGGTTCACAAGGATCAGACCTGTAGCCGGTCTTTGACTAAATCTCTAGGCATTGATCTTTCCATTGATAATGTCATTGACCATCCCTACATCTCATTGAGATATAGAAATAGAAATATAACAGAACTTACTTTGTTTTAATTCAATATCATCTTTTACATCAAACATCAACACTAAAGGTAAACATCCCTTGAAAATAAAACAAAATGGAGTAGTCACTTCATTCTTTAGCTTCTGATTGGACCTTTAACATCATTTAAAAGTGAGACTGACAAGACAGTAGAGTAATGATGGCAAATAGCTGACAATTGAAATGATAACCAAACTTTAGTAGGGTCTTTTTTTTTCAAATATAACTGTGTTTCCACTGAGAATTGTAAAGTAAAGTTAGCTCTAAGCTAGCTTTCAGTTGGCCCCCGATAAATTGTCGAACGCAAAAAGAGAGGATTTTGTTTCGGCAATTTGCCCAGAGGAAACACATGAAAGCTAGCTTAAAGCTAACTTAAAGCAGGCTTTTTCCCTCAGTAGAAATACACCCCCCTTTTCTTAATATGTTTTATCAACCCATAAAACAAGATGAATATATCTCTTAAAAAATAAAATTTAAATAATCAAAACTTACTATTAACTGTTGTCGTGCCATGGCAACACTGTCCATATTACCAGTAATATATACTGTTCCTTTCCGCTGTGGGGTCGAAGTTGAGGGGTCAGGGAAATGAATACTGGCCCCTGTTCTCTGCATGATTTGTTTGATGTTGACCCCACCCCTGCCTATGATAAAGAGATGATGTTGTGGGGCTATTTCTAGCTGCATGCTCACTGGTATCGAACCCTGGAAAATTAACATACATCAATTCAGATTGGCTGCAAATTTTAATCCTACAGATACTACCTATTGCTAGCAATAATCCCCTCCCCTCATCCCTTGATATCTTTTGACCGGCGATTATGCTTATGTATGTCCGGTTGTTATTGATGCACATTCGATCATTAAAGCGCTACATAAGAACAGGTTAAGTGATGATGTACGTATTGGTTGACCTGTAGAGTCAAATAGTTGACCATCATTCCCACTCCACCCCTCTACCGTAACCCACAGGCAACCACCCACCAACCTTTTGAAAATTTTAGACCTTGGACTAACAACAGGCAGTTATTCAAAATCAAGTTGCCCTCGGAACCTACCAGTCCCAAACTCTAACTAACCCCTTTAAGATCTGATACTTACGTTTCCAGTCAGCTGTTCACCAAGTCGACAAGTTGCTTCTTTCACTAGTTTAGCGTTATTGACGGAACCTCGTACAATAACCGTAGTAACGTACATCCTAGGTCGTTGTTTGATACTAACTGTCACGTTATATGTGTTCTGTATTTGTTGAATGGCAGGCGTCGTAGTTTCTGGTATGGTCATGGGTAATTCAAACATAAATACTAATGGTAATAATTCCTAAAATCATAATTACCAAAATAAAATCTATGATGAGGAAGAGACTTGGGTCAACTTCTCATTGAAAAATGATGAAAAAGCAATGGGCAATTGATTTATTGGAAAATAAAAATTCAAAATTGGACTTTTTGTTTCTGAAGATCAACTGGGAATAGACCCTAACAACCAACTGTTTCTTTGCAGTGTGCAATGGAGGCAACTACCGGTAATCAATGAAAAATTCAATAATTTAAGAATAACCTGACTTAAGTTTGTTAAAAAAAATAAATTCAAAAATTTAAAAAATTTCACACTTGAGATTAGAATTCTGAAAATGCAGAGTCCATAACTCTAAGTATAAATTTACAGCAAATCATAGAGAATTATATATTTACCCTAATTTGAGCTCTGGCATTTTCTACACCATTTGGTTGTCCTGCTATGGATACCTGTCAAAATTAGAATAGAGAAAATTCAATACCGATACTGTTAGGTATTAGGGGTTAAAAAGACGACACGGGGCCAACTATCGAAAGCACAGACACAGGACTCTTTGGGTGGATCTTGGTAAATATTACAATATTTTGTTTCAATGAATTTAATTGGTCCACAGATATGCTCTCGACCAATTAAAATCAATGATGGAAATATCAGTCTGCTACCTTAAGGGATAGATGATAGAATTCACTGGCTTATGACCTTTACAGCTGAAGTGAAAATACTGTCGTCCTCTTAAAAATATTAAAACAGAACCTGAAACATGTTGTTAATCATAGTTTCAAGCTGTACGATCTTCAGACAACTGAATTTTTTCTATGAGCTTGCAGCCAAATTACAAATTTACATAAAATTCAAAGGATGGCCTACCTGATTGCTTTTTTCCTGTACATTCGACCCTCTATTAGAGTCAGGAAAATGTATATGACATCCGGTCTCCTGCATGACACGTTTTATATTATTACCTCCCTTTCCTATGACATGTGAATGTTCCGTGTGTGACACGTCCATTTTTAATGTCACCCTATTTCCCTGAAAAGATAAAAAGGAAATTAAACAGTAACAGTGAAAATAGTAAAAATAGTAAAATAATTTTAGCTTCTATGATCCACTCTTGGTAGTCTTGGTAAAGATTTTTGTGTGTGTTATTTATAAAAAAAATTATAAAGTTATGATGCAGTTTTCCTGCACTTGATGCTGGAATAAAGAATGTACCCCTCAGTCTAATGTCTCCCAGCAAGGATTCTGATTTTACATTTTCATAGCTTGACAATTACAAGTGAAAAAAATAAATGCATCATTTCCACTTATCTATAACCATTAAAAAAGATTATCATATATCATAATGTACTGCAAACAGAACTGTTTCAGCATTCTGGGCCTCATTAGTGCAGTGAGGATACTGGAGTTGAGGTTTGGCTATATAGCCATCTCAGATGATCCTGCATATGTGGTATCATTGTACCATGTGAGCTACGTATACACGCTAGAGAAAATGGTACACTCCAGATAGAGTTCTCAACAAGGTATGAGCCAAGGGCCATATCTATCATATTCAGATATTTTTTAGATTTAAATTGTTATCCACGAACTCTGGTGAAAACTTACAAAGAATATCTATAAAATAAAAAGACAATGTCATGAAGCGTACCTTTTTCTTGTTTTTCCCTGCCATTTTGTTATATTATGTATTTTATATGAAAAAACTATTAAGTTTGTCACACTATCAGAAATCTGCCATGGTTTATCTTGCTGCTGTCAAAATTTTCAGGTAATCTATTTAACTAAAGTAGAGTTCACAGATATTTCAGGTAAACTTGGCACCTCATTAATTAATTTTTCTCAAAATTCTCAGGTAATCAAATGAAAACTGGCATCAGGATACTACACAGGTGACATAGAATTCTTTTAGGTAAACTAGATTCCAAAGAGTTTAAGAAATTCCAGGTAAACTTGGCACCAAATTAAGTTAGCTGCCCAAAATTTTCAATCGACTATACAGGTCACATAGAATCCAAGAGTACAGTCTTAAACTCCTTCCATTCCTTTTAGGAGAAACTAGTCTACAAATATTCCAGGTAAACTAGAATCCAAGAGTCCAAGAAATTTCAGGTAAACTTGGCACCACACTATCATTTCCCAGGTAAAATGAAATAATGACAGTCAGAATTAAGGGAGTTGGTCTTTATCAATCATATTGAAAAAATAATGAAATATTTGTCGGTATCTGTCATCACCGTGACGTCATTTTGACTCATTGTTTTGATTAGTAAGAGAGCCGTGTCAGTCATTGGAATTCCCTGTTACTAATTATAAATTATTGATTAGAATTCTCAACCAATCACCTGTCACTATTACCTGAATCAATGGAATTTCCCTGTTACTATTAATAACAGTAAAGAACTGATGTATTGATGAGATTATTGATTATCACTCTCCTCCAATCACCTATTTATCTCACCTGAATCATTGAAATACCTTTCATATGACGTGTTTTTAAACAATAGATATGATATGTCAGAGAGTCTTAGGTTAAAAGGACAGACTTGAAAAAATAATGATGCCATTAGGATGGGACAAGAAACCCTGGCCCCTCAAATTCAAAAGAATAGGCTAATAACTTTCATACGACTTGTTTAAAAAACAATACATTCAGTATGTTAGAGATTCTTAGGTTAAAGGGACTGACATGGAAAAATAACAATGCTGTAAGGATGAAGCACAAGAAGCACAGTCCCCGAAATATACAGAGGATAATCTAAAGCTGGTGTCTTTGACTTTTTCTTAAACAATGTATTTGGTATGTTTAATATTCTAAGACTGTGGAGGCTGATTTGAATAAAGTGTTTAACCATAAGGATGAGGCAATAAACCCAGGCCCCCAAATATAACAGAATAGTCTAAAACTGGTGTCTGACAATGTGTTTGGTATGTTTAAAGTTTGTGGGGGCTGATTTGAATAAAGTGTTAAACCATAAGGATGAGGCAATAAGCCCATGCCCTCAAATCCAAAGAAGATAGGTTTCTATGGTCAGGGGGCTGATGGTAGAAAAAGGTTTAGTCTTAAAGTTGGGGAAAGAACCAAAGCTCCTATTAATACCAGGAACCTAAGATTATATTTTAAACTCAACCATTTACATTAATTCTGTCAGAAGCCAAAACCAAATTGACTTTCTTGCAGTAAGATCCTTGTGGTCAAAACACTGTAAAACTGAACTTTGATTTTTTAACAATTAATAATTACAACTGTGTGAGTTTAATTATAATTGATTATGACTAAGATGTAGGTCGTGGTTAATTAGGGTTTAATATCTAATCAACATTAATCAGGTTAACTGGAAATTCCAGGTTTTGTCTGAATAATTCAAATGATTGAGTCAGCTGGAAGTATGAACTTTATAAACTTCTTGATGACGCTTCACCTTGGAATTTGATCAATCTGCTGCTGTATGGATGGTTTACCAGGGTCTAGGGCTAGGAAATGAGAGTTTGGTCTGTGGGTAAGTTAGGGGCTAAGAAATGAGAGTTTGGTCTGTGGGTAAGTTAGGGGCTAAGAAATGAGAGTTTGGTCTGTGGGTAAGTTAGGGGCTAAGAAATGAGAGTTGGGTCTGTGGGTAAGTTAGGGGCTAAGAAATGAAGGTTTGGTCTGTGGGTAAGTTAGGGGCTAAGAAATGAGAGTTTGGTCTGTGGGTAAGTTAGGGGCTAAGAAATGAGAGTTGGGTCTGTGGGTAAGTTAGGGGCTAAGAAATGAGAGTTGGGTCTGTCGGTAAGTTAGGGGCTAGGAAATGAGAGTTTGGTCTGTGGGTAAGTTAGGGGCTAAGAAATGAGAGTTGGGTCTGTGGGTAAGTTAGGGGCTAGGAAATGAGAGTTGGGTCTGTGGGTAAGTTAGGGGCTAAGAAATGGGAGTTGGGTCTGTGGGTAAGTTAGGGGCTAAGAACTGAGAGTTGGGTCTGTGGGTAAGTTAGGGGCTAGGAAATGAGAGTTGGGTCTGTGGGTAAGTTACTGGCTAGGAAATGAGAGTTGGGTCTGTGGGTTAGTTAGGGGCTAAGAAATGAGAGTTGGGTCTGTGGGTTAGTTAGGGGCTAGGAAATGAGAGTTGGGTCTGTGGGTAAGTTAGGGGCTAAGAAATGAGAGTTGGGTCTGTGGGTAAGTTAAGGGCTAAGAAATGACAGCTGGGTCTGTGGGTAAGTTAGGGGCTAAGAAATGACAGTTGGGTCTGTGGATAAGTTAGGGGCTAAGAAATGACAAATGGGTCGGTGGGTATGTTAGGGGCTAAGGGCTCAGACATGGGAGGGACTTGGGGGGCTAAATATACAGCTAAGTTAAGTGACTAGAATGGTGACTTTGAGCAATAACCAAAGACTAAAAAATTACTGGTTACAGATAATTCGGAAAAGATCAAGAAGTTTGGACAAGGACCAGTTGGTAGACAAGATTCTACATGATAAATATAGTTGTTTCTTTCTTTTCTTTGAAACATACCTAATACCACCTATACGAGAAAGCTCTGGAATGTAGCAGTGGTGGCACCATTGGAGATACTGAGGAGGCATTTGTCCCCCCTAGAAAAGTGGTTTGCAACCCTAATTGTACCCCCAGTTTAGTTCTAACACATTAAAAAATATGATTCTTATATATTTTTGTCTGTAAATATGTGATGGATTGCACCAAATAAATTCAAACAAATTCTTGGGAGAACCCTCTCAGACTCGCCAGGGTTGCAATGACACCTCCACAGTATTCAGCCTTGTCCCCCCCCAGATTGAGTCAGTTTGCCCCGTATTTGTTCCCCCAGTCTTGAGAGGCTGGTGGCAACACTGGTAAAAGCTGTGGAATGTAGACATGTTATTTCTAAAACTAAGTTTTCCAGAATTGCAGGTGAGAAAACATTAATAAAGCATCAAGATAAAAGTTCAGAAAAATACTCAAAAATTATAAACTAATTAGTTTTAAATTAAAAACTTCAGAAGTCTGACTTTTAACTCACGAGCTGATTAAAACTATATTTAAAAAAATATTGGTAAGTTGTCAAAGAGTAAATGTAATTAATAAGAGGGGTGTGTAGGTAACATGTATACGAAATTTGAAGTAAAGTTGAGAATACAAGTAAACAAGATACAGAGTTGAGAATACAAGTAAACAAGATACAGAGTTGAGAATACAAGTAAACAACATACAGAGTTGAGAATACAAGGAAACAACATACAGAGTTGAGAATACAAGTAAACAACATACAGAGTTGAGAATACAAGTAAACAACATACAGAGTTGAGAATACAAGTAAACAAGATACAGAGTTGAGAATACAAGTAAACAACATACAGAGTTGAGAATACACGTAAACAAGATACAGAGTTGAGAATACAAGTAAACAAGATACAGAGTTGAGAATACAAGTAAACAACATACAGAGTTGAGAATCACGTAAACAAGATACAGAGTTGAGAATACAAGTAAACAAGATACAGGTTGATTAGTTTCAATCATCACAATATTTATCAACTTGCTGTCATAATATTCATTTAGCAGTGAAATATAGAGTACATATTTTTGCTTGTACCGCTTTTTGTAAAAAAAACAAGACGCTTGCGTTATATTTTGCTATTGGTTAATGAATTTATCAACTTGTCATCAAAATATATATTTATTTAGGCAATATCTTATTTAGCAGTGAAATATTGAATATATTTACATATTTTTGCTTGTACTTGGTAACTTTGTTATCTCAGCTTGTTGTAAAAACAAGATATTTGGGGTATATTTTGCTGGTGGTTAATGAATTCATCAACTTGCTGTTAAAATATTCACTAGACAAAATCTTATTTAGAAATGAAATATGGAGAATATATTTAAATAAATTTTCTCGCACTTCACTTTGGAAATGTTAATTTTGCTTTTGGGTTATTATACAATGGCTACAAGTTTTCAAGCCTTTTTCCTAAATTTGGATTTTCCTTACTTTATGAATTTCATTTGTGTTTAAGTTTATTACCATAATATTTTTTCAAATTCTGCTTTAAGACTGTTATATAGATATTTCAAAACATAAGGAGTGGTTGAATATAGAATAATTATATCCTAACAGAATATAGAAATTGACACATCTAGTTCCACCCTGAAACATGTCTAGTTTTATTCTTACAGCTGATTCGAGCTGTCTATAACTCTACAGCAAAAAAAAAAAGAAAGAAACAACTATATTTTACAAGGATAACAACATAAGTTCACAAGAATTATCTAACTGGTCCTTGGCCAAACCTCTCAGCAGTGATCTTTCTCAGATTATCCGTACCCATTTACAGATGGGTCAACTCGAATAAAGAGGAAAAGATGACTTATTCAAGGTCAACAGACTTTAAGAAAATTTAGATAGATCAACTGCCTTGATTCTTTTAACAATAGACATGTGATTGAAAATTCGACTAGTGCAAATTGACGCTATCAATGTCTCTGATACACATAATAATTTAGAAAACCTCTTTAAATCACTTCAACAATAATGTTCGTAACGCTTGCTGACAATTGAATAATAATGACATGGAACAGATTTGAAGAATACTCAGTTCAGCTATAAACCACTCCTGTAGCACGTGTATCTATCTTACAGTGTTGATATTAGTATTACAGGTGATTTTCATATAAGATTCACCAGGTTGATATTGAAAACATATTACTGTAACTTGGTCTGGTTTATTATGTTTTCTCTAACCTACTGTTAGTCTATAGACTGATTTACAGCTGTTGTTCTGCCAGCCATGTCTGACTAATTCTAAAAAAGGACCATCTTACAGGTGATTTTCATATAAGATTCACCAGTTTGATAATAAAAACATATTACTGTATGGTTTATTATGTTTTCTCTGACCTACTGTCAGAGCATGCTTTACAGCTGTTCATTTGCCAGTCATGTCTGACTAATACTCTAAAGTGTCCCCTTTGAATTTGATTTTAGGCACCAGTAGATTGTTTGATAGAAACTAATAACACATGATAGTAACTTGGTATGGTTTATTGTGTTTCCAATGATTTACTGTGAGACTACAGCCTACAGCAGTTGACTTGCAAGCCATGTCTGACTAGAACTACAAAGTGACAATCTATAAGTTCAATTTAAGTTGATTTCATATAAGTAATTAGGTCATGAAATTTCTATTAAAAAATTGACAGCTGCCCGTAAGGCATCCATATTCTATATTCCACAAATGGGTCTTGATCACCATGCTCAAAATTGGGTGTGTTAACCTGTGAAATTTCCTTTTATTATCAAAAATATATTTTTTAAGAATTCACATTTTTCCACTTGCAGCACCTTTCAAGGCATGAAAAAGAATTTTACATGGCCAAACTAAGAGACACATTTCTTACATTTTTGCAATAACCTTGGAATCAAAATATCACGTGTTTTTCTTAAATTGCCTGTCTTTGTTCTGAACAATCTTTAATCAAAATATGATAATGAAAGTGAGACAACGCCCTTGATTAATAATTAATTAGCTGTACAGTCATCAAGTATAGACAAATAATACAATCAATAAATAGAATAAGACTTGACCCAGAGAAAATAATCTACAATTATCTATCTATGTCTTTAAGAAATCTTTATACAACAATATTTTGTAGGGTATGCTCACTAGATCCAAACAACTCATTCAAAGCAGCAACTACACGACCATGTTATTAGTTTCGGAGAGTTCACATGTTTATTTGGTATATATATGTAAAACATGGTCTTGAAGAGTTCTTTAAAGACAATATAATAGTGCAGGCAGGGCATGCTCACTTGATCCAAACAAATCATTCAACACAGAAACTACGTTATCATGTTATATTAGTTTCAGAGAGTTCACATGTTTATTTGGTATATATATGTAAAACATGTTCTTGAAGATTTCTTTATAAGACAAAATGATAGTGCAGACAGGGCATGCTGACTCTGTATCTGTATTTGTCAACTCGTTATCTATTTCGGAGAGTTCTCATGTATATGTGGTATATATACACTACATGTATTTTTATATCTAGTTTTAACATTATGGAAAGATGTACACAGATCCTGTCTGGGGTATTCAAAGATCTTGCATCCCTTCTGTAAAGCTTTTAGCAAATCCTGTCTAATACAAAAAATAACAAATAAAACTTACCTTTGTATCAAGTATGGCAACAATTTTTTCTTTGGCAATTTTAACATCATTGGGATAACCAATAACTTTGATATGAGGATCTGAAAAATAATTAAAATTTTAATTAATTCATTGATTAATATAGTTATATAAATAATGAATTTTAATTATTTCATTGATTAATATAGTTATATAAATAATCAAGCTTAAAAATGTTAAGTTGTGCTCTAAAAAAAAAAGGGCCAAGGAACTGCAAAAATATTGACTTTTTCATGTTAAAATATTCTGGACATACGTCCCCTCAGTCATCTCACCCATCATTGGTGTAATGGAACCTGAAAAAATATGAATACTTCAGACAAGTTTCCCTCCTCCATCTTCCTTCTTTTCCTGTTTTAGCTCTAGGAAACCTTGAAAACTGTGAATATACAATTCAGCTAAAAGTGTATGTCAAGTCAAACTCAGTTCTTATTTTACAAAATATTAAAAGATGGGTTCCCTTATATTTATTTATGAAAATGAAAATGCTAATACTTATATGAATAGAAAGTAGAGGTATTCTAATGATACCAGTTTGTTCATAATTAAGCTAAATTAGAAGAAAAATACCAGAAGAATTCCAATGAGTGACCGATCAAGAAAGGTCAAAACGTCTTTTTTATCTAATACATACATGGACATTTATGATTGGTTAAAACTCTTAATCATATGCAATAAGAACACAATATGATTAAGAATACATGATAATTCATTAAAAACACCAATTAATCAAATAGTTTGCTTAATTCGACACTAAAAAATAAGCAAACCCATCTTTAAAGGTGTAGCATGGCACAATCTAAAATCACATAACTCTTGAAAACACGACGATTTGGAAATAAAATAAGTAAACATGATTACTCGTTTGAAACATAAAACTCTATTATTTGGAGGAGGTTGGAGTTTTAACGTGTTTTATGTAAAATAACCAAATAAATCAGATGATTGAAATCTCTAGGCAACAACTTGAGACGTTTTCTTCTCGTTTAATGTTAGCTTTTTCTCTAAAGATTTAATTTCATTTTACACTAATAGATAGCCAAGTATAATAACATAAATTATATTTTATAATCAAATTGAAATAACATTGGGGTTCAGGACAACACATCTTCACAATATCAAGCTGTTACCAACCGTGTTAAATAACATAAGACACTTTTCTTGTACCCTGAAAGTTTGTAAATACAGGGATTTGATTGGACTTGAAGCTAGCAAAAACAGCCAATCAAACTCACAGAGCATAATTATTGTTAAGAGACATTCTGTCATGAGCTCTTGATTGGCCGTATCAACTTGCATACAATCCAATCAAATTGCTGCATTTACAAACTTCTGTGAAACAAGAAAATTGCCCAATGATGTCATATTATGAACGTCATAATATCTTGACGTTGTGAAGATGAGGTCAACCTTAAAATTGTTTATTCAATGACTGTCAGCAAGAAACTGACTATATCATAGGGTTTTGTCAACCTGAACAATCTTACAACTGAGGAGCCACATGGTTCAGTTCGCTAACCTCAATTCCGACATAGTTTGAGATAATACCTTCCGATTTTTCAACCCAGTTTCCTCCAGTCGGTGATGCAAGTAAGAGGGGCCGACATGGAAAAAACGTCTAGTCGTTCGGATGGGACAATAAACTGAATCCCCGTGCCACAAGCTGAGCACGTTGAAGATTCCTTGACAGTTGGAAATCAAAAGAGAACAGACTAATGCCACTGTTTTGGCAAAATTTTCCTCATTGCACCCTGCATGGTGTTGCCCGTCTTCATTAGACCACATGGTGCAGAAAAGTAGGACGTAAAACTTCATTCATTTCATTTCATTTCTTACAACTGAAAAATTGCAGAACATCTAAACTTCTACTCATTTCAAGAAAAGGTAATGTAAGTTGAGTTCAGGGTTGACCTTGTGGCCAGCACAATCTGAAAACAACTCATTTCGAAACAACTACAAATAATTTTTACAGAAAGTTTCGGATTAACCATTTCAAGGTGAACCTGAATGCCAGAAACTTGAGAAGTTGTAAGTGTACAGACCTGAGCTCTTGAAAACATAAAGATAAACTTTGAAACAGACCTTCATTAGACCTCAACAAATGGTCATTGTTTAAAAACATGGCAGATGAGATCTGACATATCCAGATAAACTCTCTTTTACTCTTTAGCTTTCAGTTCAAACACTGTATGTTTTGTGGCTGTTGGAATATCTTGGTCTGTATTTGAATTAGATTAAATAACATCAAAAGAGACCACTGTGGTTATATATGTGGTATCTGGATTAAATTCAGCATGTCATTTTAAAAAATATTAAACATTACTATGTCATTTGTCTTAGAATGTTTTTATTCTTGAGAAACAATAATAAACCACTTTTTTGGAGCTGTTAACTTGGCCTGGGCAGGGAGCACTAACTCTTTTAACGAACATGCCATTCATAGTTTCTGAAAATCGATGTATAGGCCCTATGTCTCTGAAACTCTTAGAAGAGTGTCTGTCTCGAAACGATCTTGGTGTTAGGACATCTTTGTTAACATCTAACACTGTTTTTAAGACCTCCTAGCGCTAAGATCATTTCGAGAATACGGCCCTATGTCTCTGAAACTCTTAGGAGATTCTCTATCAAAATATACTGGGGCCTTATTCTCGAAACGATCTTAGCGCTAGGACATCTTTGGTTCTTAACTTCTAACACTGTTTTTAAGACCTCCTAGTGCTAAAATCATTTCGAGAATAAGGCCTTATATCTCTGAAACTCTTAGGAGAATCTCTATCAAAATATACTGGTCTTTATTTAAAAGGTCTCAGAAAGGGTTCTATTTCTATGCCAGGCTGACTGAGCATTTAAATCCTTACAGCATTTACATTCAAAATGAGTTTTATAAATATGCCAACTGCCTGAGAATTAAATCCTATCTTTATTAATAGCTCTCTATTTACTATTAAAGTAATGATTGGGATCTGGTTCATATCAAGTTAGTAAAATAAAGATACAAATCATTGAGAATCTTCGTAACTCTTTCTACTCTCTCGGCTCGCTGCCAGAAATAACCTAACTTACAACAATCGTAAAAATATCAAACAGCTGATTGGCTTTAGCACATGAAATAAATTGAAATGGAGTTTACCCCCCATTTTTCTGTACTTCATGTGCCTTCCAAATTTGATATAGAGTTATATGCTATTTTTTCTGTATTTTATTGAGCTAAGGTAATGATGTAGAGTTAAACACTCTTTTTCTATTCTTTATTGAACAAATCTGGAACTACACATAATTTCTTTGCTACTGAATGAATACATGAAATTGAACAGTGCCATGCAGTGTGCAATGTGGACAATTCTCAAATTTTATCATAACAGTAATATTGACCTTTTTTGTCTTCCACTCGTCTATGTTTTGTATTTGCGGGAACACAATGCCTGTTCATCAATAACCATTAATAACAAGACGTAGTTAAATCATTCATATTCATATAATAACATTGCAAACTTAATAAACTCTGCTAAATTTAATGTAGAGGCTTTCTTTTGTTTTCTTTCAAAAAAATTTTTACTTTAAAAAAGACGTATCTCATCCTAGGTTTATTATTATATAACACTATAGACTGGAATCAATTCATTACTAACAGGTGCTCTATATACTATGTTTATATATTCTACCTGTTAGTCTGTAGGCCAGTCATTACATACCACCAATCCTCTTTTCTCTACCCTACTTTCTTACACTCAATTTTTTAGGCACTGTTTTCATTTTACAGTTTTTTCTGTAAGGATTGTAAGAGGTTTTCTAAATATTTTATGTGTATCGGGGACACTGATAGCATCAATTTGCAACATTCCAATATTCAGCGTCAATGGTTTCTGCAATTTCTGCCTAAACTAAGTGTTTTTGACGTCACTTAATGCAAAATATGCTTTAATACATAAGGCACATCGCAATTAGTGACGTCATCGAACACTTAGTTTTAGTAGAATTGTAGGAATCACAGACGTCTGACTGAAAATTGGAATGGTTCAAATTGATGGTATTAGAACTGATCTTGTCTCAGGTATAGTATATAAGTATTCCACATCTGACTATTACAGCTAAAAATATACCCAGCTACTAATAGTGCTCTAGTTATTACAGTAATCTCTGCTAGCATCATTCATTCATTCATTCCTTCAGGCATCCATCTCTTTCATTCCATCTATTATAGCTAAAAATATTCCCAGGCTTCTGATATCTTCACTAGTTTTATCATTCAATCATATATCTTCTTCTACCTAATATCTGATAAACTTATCTACAAACTATTATATTACTGAATGGTTTCATGCCTTCCCTTCATTTTCATGCCTTCCTTCCTTCCTTCCTTCCTTCCCTTCATTTCCCTTCATTTTCATTCATTCATTCATTCATTCATTTCATTTCATTTCATTCCATTCCATTCCATTCCATTCCATTCCATTCCATTCCATTCCATTCCATTCCATTTCATTTCATTTCATTTCATTTCTTGATTGATAATACCTAATATACTAAATGATTACAGTGATTAATGGTTTCATGCTTTCCTTCATCCTTAATTTGTTTGTTAAAAATACTTATTTATACAATTCCATACAAATACATTCTACGATTGAAACATAAAAACTGACGTATTTCAGCCCATGTCCCTACTGAAGTTGGACAAGTAGAATTTATTCTCAAGTCTACATTTCGAGACAAGTTCAGAATGTTTGTTTAAAGACGTGTGCTTAGAGACAAATATGTTCTTCTTTGAAACAATGGAAATACAATGCTGTGTCATGTAGGAAAGTTATGCGATGGGAGTGGAATATCATGAATAAAGTAAAACCAACTCTGATGAACAAAGCTAATATATATATAAACTGCAATCAAACCAAAACCTGTAAAGTTATTTAAAGGAACTAACAATATATTGAAATAGTATCAAGTAAAGTATGTAATTTCTAGCAGTTTGAAATATACAACCTTCTACTATCAAAACTAACTTTATGTTGAAACAGTATCACATAGAATAACCAGTTACAAAGAAAGTTGAGACAAACCACCT